ATAATTATTTAACATTTAATGCTTATATTTAAATGGTTTTATCCGTTACTTTTCATTTTAAAATGAAATTTTTTTTCTTCTTCTTTGAATTTTCAATTTCCTTTTACAATTTTGTTTTTGTTTTTATTCTTTTTTTTAAAAAAATATTATTATTATCTTATCGTTATGATGAATCTTAGATTTATTATCTAAAGGAAGGATTCAATTCATTAATTTATTCATTCTTATTTTTATTTTCATTTTATTTTTGTTGTTGTTGTTTCTTTTTTATCACTGCAAACATTACAGTCTAATGTTATACCAGTTTTTTTTCAATCCTTTAATTCATTGAGTAGTAGTGATGATATTTTTTTCAATTATTATTCCAAACACATCGATGAAGTGTTGATTGTAATCAAAAGGGATAAGGTCAGACAAATATAGGCATTATATGATCAACTATGATTAGATTCAAATAAAATGTTATTTATATGGAAATAATAATGTGATTGGATGATCAGAATTTAGTTAATAATATTTTAAAATTCAAATTTAGCATCTATTTTTGCTGTTAATACAATAAAAAAAAACAACAATAAGATGATTTATGTTGATGATGGTTTTAAAATGTTGATAAATGGGCAAGAGATTTATTCAAATTTTTATCCGATTATCGAAACAAATCAATATATCAATTGATTGATCATCAATATGCAGCAATTTCATCAAACAAAATGATTATGTCAATCATATATAATCAAACAAGGTGATCGTTTTATTTTGTTTCCAAATCTATTGTTTGATTTGAGAATCAAGCTACCAAAGCATGAAAGCTGCATCGCTTTTTTCAGTCTATTTTTTTCCCGGAAAAAACATTATCACCTAAATAATCATTCTACAGTTACGGAAATTCAGAATACTGATAACAGTTGATGAAAAGAAACAAAATTTTTTCGTTGATCTTTATTATTTCAATCATGATTGACTCAAACACACCATAATCAATGAAAACGATGACACCTGTTTACACATCTGTCCATCTGTCTATCATCATGTTCTGTATCATTGTTTTTTATCTGTATCCTTTCTTTTTTTAATGTTTCTATTTGTTCTTTTTCTATTATAAGAATATATTTTTGATGAACAAACAACAAAAATCATAGATTCAAATTCGACCAATCATTTTATAAAACTAAATAAAAATATAAAAAATAATGGTCAGTTTGCCATTATTATGATCTTTTTTTACCTATTAGAACTGAAATGAAATGAGAAACAAAACAAAAATTAAATTCATTTATACAACCTTTCTTTTGGAAAAAAGGGAATGATGAGATTGAATTAGGTTTCGATAGTTAATTCATTCAATACAAAAACGAATGTTATACTTTCCCCCTTTTTTTCAATTTTAAAGTTTCAAATCTATGAATAGTTTCAGTAGAAAAAAAAATTAATGTTACAATTGTTTACATGGTACAATTGATGTTTCCTTCGAACATAAATGTACTGTTACATATTTTGTTTGTCATTGTCGTTGTCAGCTGAAAAACGAACAAAATCCATCAACAAATTCAATTCGTATTTTCGTTCTTATTTGAATCAACAAAAGATTATGCCTGAAGAGTAACATGTATGGTTTATTTTTTGAAACAAAATTTCTTTACTTTTGATTTCAAAATTCAGTGAACAAAACTTTTCTAATTTGTTGCTATTTAAGAACAGAAAAAAAATTCATATGGCTTAAATATTAAATGGGATGAAAATCCATTAACGTTGTTGATCATCGTTTTTTTTGTTCTTTGTTAGTCATAGAAACATATTACAATGAATGATAATGATGGCAAAATATTCGAAACATTTTTGTAATGTTGACCAAAAAAAAGGTCGACCATCCAAAAGCATTGATTTTTTTTGGAAAAGAAAAATTCACCGAAAAAAACAAAGTCAATAAATTTCAAATTAGAAAAACGAGTACAAAGATTGAAATAGAAAACAAAAACTAATCCATTATAATCATACCAAACCCATTTATTTTATTCATTTACGCCAAAAATGAAAATGAAAATTCCAAATTCAAATGAAAATTATTGACAAATTAACAAATTGGCTTTACAATGATCAATCCATGTATGTATAGAAATCTAGGTTTATAATCAATATGAATAAAATGAATAGAAAAAAAAATAAATAAATTGAAAACATACATACGCACACCTACACTAACCACCTACGATTTAGGAAAATTATCTAAACTCTATAATCAAATTAGTATGTTTTTCAACACTTAAAATAGAATGATTTGTAGGAACCCTTTTTTTGTGTTTCTATTTTTTTTCTGAGAAAACAACGGAAAACATTTGAAAGTAAAACTTTAAATTATAGACCAAATGTATTTATATGTGTGTGTGCGTGTCGGAGCATCAATTTAATTTTTGATTTTGAATTTCAATTTTCAAAAAATTAGAAATTCCGCTTATCAATCAATCCCTAACAAAGGCTAAATTGATCTTTATTTTTGATTTTGTTTCAAAATCGATTGTTTTCGAAATAGATGAAAAAGCCCGATCTAATCGAAATGAAATAATTTCATGATTGAATTGTTCATTCAATTCGATAAATAATTAGTGATTATCACCAAAACAAAAAATGACCAAAAAAAAAACAAAATTGGTAATTTCAGGTTTTTTTTTTGTTGAACAAATCTAGTTGATTGACATGAGAAACCTGAAACCTGACAGTTAGATTGATTTTTGTTTTTAAAAATTGAAAATGACCAAACACAATGGAAATATTTCATTATGATAACCAAATTAAGGCCTACAAATTATTAATGATCACACATCTCATGATTATGATTATGATGATTGAATCAAAGATATGATGAACAATGAAAAAAATTATTCGCGATACCTACAATTAACATTTTCACTCCAATAAGGTATTCAAATGAAACAAAAGAAAATCGAATAGACAACAAAAAAATATGATAATCACGAATTACGTGTTTCTGGGGGAAAAAATTCATGTGAAAAAAACCACCAAATGAAAAACCAGAAACACAAACGCAAAAAAAATTTTCTACATTCATTCAAACTAATTTTAGCAAAAAAAAATTTTTTTGTTTCGCTCATTTTTCTCGGATCGTTGTTTCGACCACCACCATCACAATGTTAGGCAATTGAAAAAAAATTAGCTATTCGTTCTGGTCATATATATTGATGATTGTTGTTGTTGTTGATGATGAATTATCACTTCCCTAATTTTATAATTATTCACCTTTTGTTGTTCACAAATATATAAGATGTAAATTTTCTTTTTTAAAATTAGATTCAATGTTTCACAATCATCTCATTATGAAAAAAATATAATAATAATAATAATAAAATAATCATCAATATATCATTTGTAATGTAACTGGAAATGTGGAACATTCAATGAATGAATGAAAGATGATGATCAGAAATATATAGCATCATCATCATCATCATTATGAGTGAAAAAAGATATTATTGAACCCGAAACAAGATTGAATTGGATGGCGAAAATACAAAAAAAAAAGACAGTCTAAATAGATAAATAATAATAAAAAAAAATATTTGAAAAAAAAATCCAAATCAAAAATGAATGAAGAGGCCAAATCAAGAATGTAAAAAAAAGAAAAGAAATAGACATAGACATGAAATTAATTGCCGCACACGCATTTTATTTACTATTCAATTCATTTCATTTGTTTGTGATCCAAAGTCAAAATCTAAATTTAGGTATGGGCCAGTGATGTTTACCCACCATCATCATCATCATTATTACAATCATGATCACTTTTTATTTCTGGTTCTAAACAAAATATTACAAAGAAGGAAAAAAACTATAGTAGATCATCATTGAAATTTTTTTTTGTTGAAATCTTTTCTTTTCGTTTCGTTTTCGATATTCTAAATTGAAATTCATCATCATCGAGGTCGAATTATCTCTTCAATGAATTTTTTTTTGTCGAGTCAAACACATATTGATCATATCGATAGAGCATAATGTTCTCTTCATCTTTTGGATTGATCCAAATATTTTTTTTTTAATACTAATCATACTCATCATTAACATCATCAGTTCAGATAATTTTTCTCTTCTTTATTTTGATGTTGAAGAAAAAAAAATTGTTTCCTGATTGAACAAAACTGGTAAATGGTCAGGATATTTTTAATATATTACATGCTATAAGTAGAGATCATCATCAATATCCTGATGATGATCGCGGAAAAAAATCAGCTGCAATAATTTAGATTAAAACAATATATGCAGCTATCATCATTTTTTTGGGGGGGGGAAATGATAATGACGATGAAGGTAGAAATAGATTCGAATGTTTATACCAATAATCAATAGCAATAACAATAATGTAACAAGCAAGAAAAAATGCCGTCGAAATATAATCCTTTTTTTCCAGTTGAAAGTAAGATCAATTTTAATAATAGAAAATAAAAGGGAATATTGAATATTTAAGAGAATAACCGTATAGTCCGGTTAACAATCTAACTGCACGGTTAGACTCACCACTACAGATCTAATATCTATTATCCAGGTATATTTTATGATAATCTCTTCATTCATAATATTATCTTACTTTTATATGTAGTATGTATCATGAAAACATCCATCATTACGAATGATGCTGATACATTGGTTGTTCGGGAAAAAACAGAAAGTTTTTTTGTCCGACTTTTAACAGACAACACACTTAATTTAAGAGTGAGAGTATTTGCCGCATCAAATATTTTAGGATCCAAAATGATAGTGAAAGAGAATTTTTATTTGGCGCTTACCATTAAAAATCATTCTCTATACTTAATCGTAATGACCAACCACCACCACCACCAAGTATGTGGTCGAAGTAGATTTTGAATGAATTGTTGAAAGATCATCATCATCTTGTTGAGGATGAGGATGAGGTATATAAATGGAAAACAACATCCATTCATATAGGATTCATATCATATTGGATTCGTTTGTATGAAAACTTTGTTCATCATCTAAGGGTTTTTTTCGTGTGTTTTATTTGGTGAATGGTTTAATAATTATTTTTTTCTTTAAAAAAAATAAAATTGAAATCCTCATCTAATCGTGTGTTTTTGTGTATTATTTTTGTTCATCAACCAAACAACAACAACAAACAATATTGATAAAATGAAAATTTCGGTATTTGAAATCATATTGATCATGATTGTTATTTCAAATATAATTGATTTTGGCTAATTATCAACATTTTTTGATTGGTTTGATCTATAGGTTCAACTAAGGCATTATTGTCTGGCCGTTTGTTTATTGCAGGCCATCTGTTTTGTTTCGTCAAATTATATGCCACAAAGTTTAAGTAATTATGGGGGTGGTAATAGCGGCGGTGGTAATGGTAATGTTGGTCCGGTTACAACTGCCATCGAATCTACACGTACTGTTGAAGTTAAACCAGTACAAGTGATGGGCGAACCACATGAACCACAAGTAGTTGAAGTACCATCCGAAGATATGCCTGTAACCGTACATTTCAAATCACAATCAAGCCGTGTTTTAGTTCAACAAACACATACACCAGGTATTCTTTTGATCATGTTTATGAAAATGGAATTATTGAAAATTGAAATTTCTAATTGTTTTCTTTTTTCATTTAAATCAATTAACTTTTGATTATCGTCTATAGCTCAAGTAGTCGAACCTGAACATACAACATCAGAAGATGAACCACAACGAGTAATTCATGAAGTTGTGAAACCAGTCATCCAAGAGATTCGTGAAATAATTCAGCCATATCGTCGTTTAATTCAACAAGTACAACCAGTGATTGAACAAACTCATACGGTCATTGCTAAAGGTGAACCACGACCACCAGTTGAACCGCTTTCAGTCGATGGTGCTTCAACTGGCACAATTTCCGGTGGTGGAAACAGCGGTGGTCGACAAGGATCTTCAGGTAAATACGGAGGTAGTTCCGGTGGTAGTAAATATGGTGGCAGCAGTAATTATGCTGCAGCAGCTTCATCCGTTTCATTGAAATCTCAATCACCAACATCCACTGATGATCGAAAATCGTCGTCATCATCAACATCAAATATTAATCGCAATCCACAGCAACAACAAGCATTTTCATTGACACCAATCACTAAACAACATTCGAATCAAATTCAGACGCCAAGTAGCAAATACGGCCAACCAATGATTGCCCGACAACAAAGTAATAATCGCGATAATTCTTATGCAGCACGACGTGGTGAATTCCGTGAACCACCTCATATGGAACGATTTGATACACCAAAAGTTTCATTGCGTCCAGCTTCAACTGCAACGGTAAATGCATTGCGACAACAAGCTACAACAGCAAAAATCAATCTACGAACATCAGCTTCGGAAATCGTACCATCTGCTGCAGCACCATCATCCTCTTCATCCGCATCAGCATCATCAGCATCATCATCCTCATCATCATCATCATCATTACGACCAATCTCTGAATCATATCAATATTCGCCATTATCAGCATACTTTCCACCAATAGATAAACGTGTTGATGAACCATTTAATCCGATGAATGATTACAATCAAGCTTCTGCATCACAACAATATTATCATTATCAAAAACCAATTGCATCTCAACAACCACAACAACACAATTTTCATTCCGATTATTCAATGCCATATGATAATGATGCTTCAATGTCATCGATGGTTACATTCGTTGCACAACCAGTCAGATTTAGAGCAGCACGAGCATAATTTCATCAAAAAACGAAATAGATCGTTATGTAAATGATCATCTGTAATGACATCAGCCCAGCATCAGAATACCAATGATTTTTTTCTCTCGCTTTCTTTCTGTTGTTTACAACATTTTTTCTCCTTTTTAATTATTATTGCTACATTGTTCATTCATAATTTTTGTCATCTCAATAATAAAATAGATTTAAAAAAACCAAAGAATTTAATGATGTTTCAATTTTATCATTTTGAAAATATTTTTTTTTCAATCAGAATTTTTGAAAAAAAGTAATTTGCGTGATCATTATGCAGATGGCGCTCAGATGGCAAATGAAAAAAATGATGTGAAACAACATCCGATTCGGACACAACTGTGAAATTCAATGTCCATCATTGATCAGTTACATATGCATACAATCAATGTAGATAGATGGAGCCTATGTTTTTGAAATAAACCATTAAGATTATGATATAAAAAATATTACAACTTAAAAATTAACGATAATCTACAATGGACAATGTCCAAATGTTGGATAACAACTGTGTTTTTTCACAAATGATGGTGATTTCTTTTGCAAATGATTAGCACGGTAATCATATATCATTGAATGAGAAAATTAAAGGGACAAGACATATGGTGAAGTAATTTTTGTTTTTCATCATAATAACTAAAAAAGAATGACATTTCTCGAGCAATGGTGATGATAAAATCTAAAATAATCCCGAATGAATGATTGTTGTTGATTATGATCATAATGGATGATATACCTTTGTAAACATCGTCTAGTTTCAAATTATAATTATTGTCTCCAATCCTTGGTTGAAGATTTCTGTTTTTTTTTCATTAAAAATTAGTGATTGAAAAAAACTAGTTTAACCGAAGTTTAATTCGAATTTTTGTTTTTTTAAATTATGAAGTAATCAACAATATTCACCTTGGACACCTTTATATCGATTAAATCTGTACCAGTATCAGGGTTTTATCGTTTTTGAAAAAAAATTGTTCGGGTCAAATTGAAGAAAATCTTTTTATCAGTGTAATTGTAGGAGGGTCACATATCCACTTACCACACACATCATACATTCGAAATTCGTAGGGTCGTCGACTTTACCACCGGTCGTAGTACCGGTCATCATTTATCAACCACTACCCATTTGTTTTTCATTATCTTTCTCTTTTATCGTCGTATCTCTCTCATTCTTTTGCTATATATAATTTTAGATCCTTTTTTCTCATTCTCTCTCACACTGTTTTTAGGATTTGTTTTTTTTCGGGTCTGTCATCATTCTATCATCCATGTTTAACACCATACCATTCATACTTACACACATCTCTATCATCATCATAAAACTCAACAATATCACCAATGAAAATACAAATTTTTTAAATTTCAAGAAATTTAAATTTTCAATTCCAAGTACACCAAGTTAATATGTTTGTTGGTTTTTTTTTGGAATACCTCAGTATGAGAAAAAAAGACATTGTAAATCTGCATTCAGAATTCTTTTGCCTTATGGTGAATGTATGGTATATATAGGAAAAAAAGCAGAAGTTCATAAATGAACCATAAACCAAACGGTAATTGATTAGTTTTCTTTTTCCATTCCAAAATTTTTTTTCTGTCTTTGTTTCATATTTTTTGCTTGTGTTTGATGATGATCATTCAAGTCAAAGAAGAGACTTGAAAAGAGATTCAAATATCTATGGCGATTGTCATATTGAATTGATTATTTTGAATTCTCTTCTTTTATTTTTTTTGCCTTATGATAATGATTATGTAACAAATTTCGATTTTCAACATAGATAAACACTCGCACACCCACACCCACTTATACACTTTTATTCAAACAACAATGTAAATGAGAAAAAAAAACTCTTTTTTCATTCTCTTCACGAAACAACAACAACAAAAAATATCCATTATTTGGCCATAGTTTTGGCAACAACAACAACAACAAAAATCTTGACAAATTTCACAAAATATAGACATGAACAACAACAACAACAAAATTGAAATAAACAGACGACGAAAATGTTGATGATAATCATTTGTTAGTGGTGGTGTGTATTTGTAACAATCATCAACGAATAACGATACAATTTCATCAAAAATTTTTCTTCTTTATCATCATTTTGTTGGTGGTAATGTGTGTGTGTCTATGTGACAATCTGCAATATTCGTATTTTTATGCCATATATAAATATACGATTTCGATTAACATTTGAATAAAAATCCATATGGTTTGAATATTATGATGATGATGATGATTAGTAGTAGTAGTAGTAACGAAAATTCAAATAACAACGTCCGGTAACGAATTGAAAATTTGAACGAATCAAATTAAATCTGTCTGTAACAAATTCAACAAACCACCAACCAACTAAAAGTTGTTTTTCATTTTAATTATTCTTGTCATCATCAATTATTATTCAGTGACAATTTTGTTATACTTTTTTTTACGAAGAATTTTTTTCAAATTATTCCAAAAATACATCGCCAAAGAGTGAGGGAAAAAAAGGTCAGTATTCTTGATAATTTTGAAACTAAATCCAAGTTTGGTTATAATTTTTTTTTTAAAATATTATTTTGCCATTCAAAAAAAAGAAGAAATTTGAATGTCAGTTATCACTGTCATAATCATAGAATCATTATTTTTATTTATTTGACATTTTTGACAAAAGTATCTTATTTATTCTCGACATACACACTCATGATGACCTCGAGTATATAGTTGATGTTGTCCATATTTAATGACCTACGATAATATCCATATATGTATGTTTGTACATGATTGTCATCATGTTGATCAAATGCAGACATTTTACATCCAACAATTCGTGTTGCCTTCGAATTCAAGTTAGAAAGAAAGTCAATGTCTTCGTACTTTAATTTGTCATGTTGATATTTATTTAGAACAACCAAATATCCAAATAGAAACATACATTTGAAGACATTTGACCGAAAAAAATGCTGATGTCTATTGACCATATCGAAATGAATTTGATATGCGTTTCTCATTTATTTTTTTTCCTTATACATCAAGAATATAAAATATCAGCTTTTTCTTCATTATTACAGCCAAAAAAAAAAAATTTGAAATCCATTGTTTACACTTATATGTATCAGACATTTGACATCATTATTTTTTCTTTTTGGCGAGTGCAATCAACTTTTTTCATTTTTCCTTTAGTATATCATGTCACTTGTGTTTGTGTATACAACACATCTGGATATTCGATATTGCGATCCATGGATTTTACCATTAGCTTGCAGATATTCTTTTTTTTTGACATTTGCACCGACTCAAAATGAATGATTATATCGCGCCCATTTTTTTCCAACATGGATATATCTAGGTTTATGGACCTTGAAAATTTATATAGTTTTTCAGCGGCAACTGTATAGTAAAGTAAAGTAATGATTTCTTTTTCTGTTTCAAATTTGTTTATTCTGGAATATCCTAATCAAAAAAAAAACTGAAACAGAATTGATTAATTGGACGATTCCATATGATTTTATCCATATAGACTAAAAATAAAATTCCACAATTTTGGATGGTGAATGAGAAAATTTGGGCAATAAAACAAATAATTGCATCGAAGATGAGTCACACAAAAAAACATTTACAACGATGTTTATTTATCATCATTAAATATTACTTGGAATTAATTTAGCGCAATAATAATGCAATTCAATGACAATTGTTGTATACAAGAAAATAATGAATGAAATTCTTTAATATTGGGTGTAGTCTAAAATGAAATAATACTGGCCATTTCATTTTGAACGATGAAAATCATGTCAGAATGTCTGCTTGTTTGTTTTGTATCACGTGTTAATGTAATATCTAAAAATTCTTTAGGAAAAAACATTTTATCTATCATTTTTCAACAATCTTATTTTTTATTCATGATTCATTTGAATTGAATTTTTAATTTTTTTGCAATATAATTTTGGTTGGTTGAGAAAGTTGACAATTTGATTCTAATAATGATCATCATCATTATTTGATATAATCATTATCAAATATATGCCTTGAGCAAATTTTTTTTCAGAAAAAAATATCTTTTATTATGCATAATAATATGTCACAGGTGTTGATCATTTCATTTATTCATCTTTCAAATTTTATTCAGGAAAATATTTCAATTGAATAGAATGACAATTTGAACAACCAACGACAAGAAAGCAAAACCAAAGACGATTCAATCAAACATTTCGTGTTTCATTTGATATTTATTTGTCATGGATGAGATTTTTTACTTTTTCTTCTTCTTCAGATGATTTAGTTTAGATTTAGTCATCATCATCATCATCATTTGGTTGATAGATATAAAAAAGATATAAAGAAAAAATACACGGAAAATAAAAAGATTACCAAAGATCTATGGCGTGTGACCAAACTTCGAAGCAATTGAAAGAAGAAAAAAAAATGATTATAATTTTATATAATAAAATGAAAATGGCAATTTTTATTCACAAAATTTACTATTGTTTTTCCATCTATTTATGCCACACACACACACATTACTTGGTTGACTTTTGAACCAGAAAAAAACATTATCAACTAATAAAGTATGGGAATATTTCCTTTTTTTTCGATTGACAATTCAACCCGAAAGAAGCATTATTTTTTTTGGGTAGAAAAAAACCGGATGATTACGAAATATATTCTCACACAGTCAATGATGAATTTTATTTTGGCCATCTTTGTTTTGCCTCAAAAAAATAAACACTGTTGTGAAAAAAATATCCATTTGATCAAAAATCAGATAAACAAACAAACAAAATACAAAAAAAAAACAGAAATTTTTTCGACGATGAAAAAAAGTTGATTTTTTTCCCCAACTGAAACAAATATCCTGTTTTGTTTTGTACGAATCGAACAAAACTATCTCTAAATAACCAAAAAATGATAAAAGACAAAACAATATTTTTCTAATTTCGATCAGCAAAAAAAAATATCGATACCAATCGGAAATAATGGGGAAAAAAATACTAATTTCTTCGTTTTTTTTTGCCTCACAATTTTGGCCACATTCATGAATTTATATAGCTAATAATTTCCTGTCTGTTTTTATTTCGTTGACCCAAGAATGACTTTGTTTCATGATTACAAAACTCTTTGTTTTGTATATCTCTTTTACATCTTCAATCACAATAACAGAGAAAAATGTTTTGAAAACTTCCTGTCGTCTTTATTTTCGGACAGTTTCTTTTTGTTTCGATTCAAATGAATGATTATGAATATAATTAGAAAAATGATGATAAAGATGATCAAAGTTAATTAACATAAATTATAAATAAATGAAAATTTTTCTTTCTTCTTTATTAAAAATTTTGTTTATTGTTTTATTTTCTTGATTAGATTCCATTTTTACAATGCTTTTTCTTCGTGCTTTAGTTTTTGTTTTGTTTTTCATTTATTATTTTTGACATAGCTGACCGAATCATTTAATCGGTTAAATAACCGATTCGATTCGTTTCATTTTTTGTTGGTTGACCGATATGGATTTTTTTAAAATTCAATGGAATGAATTGATAAAATTCATAAAAATAACCAAAATAAATTAACTTTGAAATCGATAAGAAAAAATAAATTAATTTGTATGCCACACACACACACTCACATGCATGTCTTAAATTTTTTGCTCAATTCATACTATTTATGGATTAAAACCGATCGATTTGATTAGATCGAATCACTATTATCTTGATTATCATTATCATCATAATAATAACCTATTCCATTCATAAGATTTTCTACGATTCGATTCATACGCTTCTGTATATCATTATAAAGATGATTATGATGATGATGATGATGATGAGGCAATAATAGCAATATTTCGCATGTTAAATCGTTATTATCGTTCAAAAATTCTTCAATCAAATCGAATAATGATATTATCTTTTATCGATGTTCAACATGGCCAAAACGCATTGATCAATCCATAAAATCTCAATTATCATTCATTTGTAATAGACATTATCAATCGATCAATATCGATTTAAGAAAATTCAATGTTTTTTTTTCATAATCAAAGATGATTAAAGTGAGAAGTGATTATTATTACTATTAACATTATCATTACCGATTTAGGTAATGATTATTCTACTATTTTCGGTTTTGTGATTAATTTAATGTTGACCTACTTATTATTATTTTTTGGCTTTGTTTTTTTTGTATCATCATTCAACAAACATGATAACATGGAAATCCATATCAATCTAGAGTCAAACATCAAAAATTCTCACCCTGTTCATTATCATGATTGAAGATAATCGTGACCAAACACCTGTTGAACGGGAAAAAAGAGAAAAAAACGGTCTCATTTGGTTTTCTGTGTTGACCAATTTTTGATGATGATAATGATATTTGTATGCATTAAAAATGCCATGTCGAAATGATGATAATTCGGTTAATTTAATCTCTTTTTTTTGATTAAAATAAAGAAAATCCATTGTCTAATTTGTATTCCACGCAAACATTACAATGAAAAAGAATAATTATTTCCATTTCCTATCCATTTAGCAATCTATTTTTTCTGACCAAAATAATCACCAAATTCAAGTAAAAAAAAAGTTAAACTAAACATTTCTTATATATGATTATATTTGAATGATAAAATGGTTTATCTTTTAAGTAGAATTTCAAGTTTTTATGAATGACAACAACAATAAAAAAATGATGATAACCATTTTGATGGGCTATAATTTACATTTTTATTCGTTTTCAACGAAAAAAAAATCTTTTGTTTCAATTTTTGGAAATAATTTTGTCGAAATTATTTACCATTTTAAACATGTTTTATTTCGATTGTTTAAATTGTTTTGAAAGAGAATATAATTGGTTGTCATTTCAAACTATCGATTGTTTATTGGATGACTTTTTGTATTCTTTAAATAATTTTTGCCCAAATCTTAAATTTTAATTACGATTTGAAATCGATTGAATCAAAAAAAATTGTTATTGTTTCATTGTCATATCTTTGAATTGATTTTCATCGCATGGAAAAAAAGTTTTATTATTTAACTTTTCTCTTCTTTTCGAAAAATAAATAATCTATTCCGAACCTGTATTTCTTTCAATCATCATTCTATATATGGATAATTCACGATTTTCAATGGGTATTTCATTTCAACTTCCTTCATTTTACAACCAAGAAAAACGAAGTAAAATTTGTTTTTCTTCTTTTCTTAACTCACATCTTTTCCAATTATTATCGGATAAATAAGTATCAGCTTTTTGTTGTTATTTCTTGTTGTTGTTGCTGTTGAATACATCCTATTAAAAATAATGATTATTATCATTGTAGAAATGATGATGATGTGATGTGATGTTGATGTAACTGAGTATCTTTAACAAAAATTTCTATTAACATTTCTTTTTCTTTTTCTTTATGTGTTTTCTTTTAGATTAATATAAAATTTAGGTAAACGAAAAACAGAAAAATAAAATAAAATGTGGTCAGGAACAGTTGGTCTTGTCAATGGACAATATAAATATTTGACTGCCGAAACATTTGGCCATAAAATCAACGCCAATGGTGTAACATTAAAAAAGAAACAATTATGGACAATCGAACCATTTCCATTCGGTGCATCGACCGGTTCATCGTCGTCATCAACATCATCATCATCGAATGGAAATGGTATTGGTGGATCAATTAATTCACGAGCACCAGGAATGAGCCCACAGAACAGTATTGAAGAAATGGATGAATTAGAAAATGTGGCCATCAAATCACATTTAAATTGCTATCTGGCTGTGGATAGCTACGGGAATGTTACCTGTGACAGTCAAGAACTTCATGATGGATGTCGATTCACTATTACTATATGCGCAATGACACAAGAAGGTCATGAGGAAGGTTAGTTTATTTTAATATCTTTTTCTCGTATCTTTTTTTTCTAATTATTTTTTTCTGAAAACAATCTTTCTTCACTATTTTTTAATTCGATATCTGATTTAATCAGATCAAATATCATGGGCATTCCGAAATGTATCTCGAGGCTATTTTCTTGGCGTTTCTAATGATAGCGGTTCAATTATATGCAATGCTAAGATGCCACAATCAAAAGCTGAACTTTGGCATGTACATCTGGTTCCTGCTCGTGGTGCCACAATGTTTGGCTTTAAATCGGTTGGTCGTAAACGTTATGCGCAAATCATTTCATCAGGTATTTTTTTAATATTTTTTGTTGAAAAACCTGATTTTCACCTTTTTTTCTTGCAAAATTTAAAATCAATCATTCATCATTTTTTTCATTCATATATTTAAAAGGCAATCAAAAACAAATACAAATTGATTCGACCAATGTTTGGGGTCCAGAAACATTGTTTCAATTTAAATATTTTGAAAATGGAAACTATGCATTGATTCCTGCATCAACATGTATCGGTTCATTGAAATATATCTCCTGTGATGGAATCTGTGTGGATGCATTAATTGAAAATTCACCCACCACCAACAATAATAATAAAAATAATAAATTGAACGGTTTTGCCAACGGCAATGGATTAACAAATGGATCATCATCATCGATTGTGATGCCGCCAAAAGATTGTCTATTTACAATCGAATATCATGGAGGATTTATTGCTTTTCGTGATAAATCGGGCCGATATTTAGCTGCAACTGGACGACAGGCTGTATTACGTACACGTTCAACAGCCGTCAGTAAAGATGAATTATTTGTATTTGAACCGGCGCCATTACAAGCGGCTTTTCGAGCAACATTTAATAACAAATGGATCAGTATCAAACAAGGTAAAATATCAATTGTTCATTGTTTCGAATTCATAATATATTCATCACAAAAATAATCATTATTTGCCCATTTTTCAAAAACAAACCAAAATAGTTTTTCCCTTAAAGCAACCATAATCAATCTATGCAAAATTCCCATCATGGCTATTTCATAGTCTTTTTTAACGATCATTTTGTTTTGTTTTTTTTTTCAATTTTTTCCATGTTATTTTGATTCAACCTTTTTATTGATCCTGATCAATGACCCTTATGCAGGCAATTTTTTTTATTTTCAAATTTTTTTCCGATTGTACAATGACAACAAATAATAATGACACAAACAATGATCTGAATGATTCCTAAATGTGATTGACATTTGGAATATATAGATGAAAACTTTCGAGCTTGAGTAATCAAGCGAGAGAAAAAAAAAAGAATATCAAACCCCAAAAAAACAATAGACAATTTATTCCGATTAGATGCTTCGAATAAGAAATTATTGAGACACAATCAATACCAGAAGCCACAAAGCTAATGCTGCTTCTGGCTATCACAGACGTTGGAATTAGTAGTTTTTATTGTTTTATTTTATTCAATGAGCGATTGATCTTGAGTACATCGATCTTTGTGAAAAAGATGAATCGATCAATTTTGCAAGATTGCGATGTAGGCATCACTTTGTTAATGATACTTAAATTTAATGTTATTATTTTTATATTTTTGACAAATGAATTCTTTTTTTCCAAACAACAGGTGTCGATTTATCTGCCAATCAAAGTGAAGTAACACAACACGAAATATTTCAAATGGAATATGATGATAAATATGATTGTTGGTATTTGAGCACTAAAGATGGAAAATATTGGTCACCTGGTGCTGCATCGGCTGTTCATATTTCTTTACCAAACATGTCTGTTAAAGGTCGTTTTCGTTTATCTTGGAATCAAGACGAAGGAACATGTTCATTATCATTAATTGATGATGATAATAATCAATTAAAACCATTATGTGCTAGAAAATCTGGTCAGTTATTTACGGGTGGTAGTGAATCGATTAAATTCTACATCAAATTCACGAATCGAACTAATATTAGTCTTCGTGCATCCAATTCTAGTGGATTTGTCGGTACCAAAGGACAAGGTTAGTATCATCAAACTAATTGAATAAGTGTATGCCTAATGAATTGTTTGTTTGTTTTTAATTTAGGATCATACAAATTGGAATCAAACAAAACAATGCCGGATATGTTTGTCATCGAATATGCTAATGCCGATAATCCAACAATATCACGTGATGATTTCGATACTATCGATTCAAGTTTTAATTGTTGCTATCTAAAATTAGCTTCAACTGGAAAATATTTGAATGTTGCCGATGGACAAACATTGGCTGCGGATGCACCATCAATGGCTTGTGCCCAACAATTTCATATTGAACTACGTACTGGAACATACATTGCTATTCGTGCATTTGATTCGAATGCTTATCTAAATCTAACTGCAAATGGTGGCATAGTGTTGGCTAATTGCCCATCAGAAAAGGCTACACTATGGGAATTTTGAGCTTTCTATTCGATCTTATTCTAATATATTCGTTACATTCAACCATCGTTCATGTCTTTCTATATCAAGGAATGCTGAATTCATATAACAAGTCATTAATTGCTTTATATGTGTTTTGACCAAAAAATCAATTAACGTTGTGGCTATTTCTTTTTATCATTGATGGCATATTCCTTTTTTTATTATTCTTTTTTTTTGAATCATTCACTTTGAACAAACAAAAACAAAAACTTTCGAATTTCAATTTATATACGAGCTATATTGCCATTTTTGTAATGAACAAAACTTTTTTTTTTATTTTATTCATTTCGAGAATATTTTATCATAATTTAATCATAACAATTAATTATTGCTACGATTATTCAATTTTATATAATTGATTGATTAATTTTTGTTTTGATAGATTTTTATATAAACATAATTATTTCACTTAAAACTTAATTGAATTTGTTCGTTGGAATTTAAAAAGAATCGAAACATTGACCATTTAGTTTTTATTATTTCTTTGTCGAAAATCAAACCGTTTCAAATCAATTTATATCATGGAAAAGTCTAAGTCGAAAAAACAAAATTCGATGGAGAAATCTAAATCGATGATCAAAAAGGACAACAAATCAGATGAATCTAAACAAAAGTCGGTGATGAAAATTGATGAACACAAGGAAAAGTCTTTTTCGAAAAAATCAGAGGCGAAAATTGATGAAAACAAGGAAAAGTCTATGGTAAAAAAATCAGAGGCGAAAATTGACGAACTCATGCAAAAGTCTTTTGTGAAAAAATCGGATCCAAAAATTGACGATCTCATGCAAAAGTCTTTTGTCAAAAAATCAGATTCCAAAATTAACGAACTCATGCAAAAGTCTATGATGAAAAAAATGGATACGAAAATGGATGAACTCATGCAAAAGTCAATGATAAAAAAAACAAGTGGGAAAAATGATGAACATCCGCATAAGTCTATGACAAAAAAAACAGATACGAAAATCGATGTATCAAAGCAAAAATCTTCGGTGAAAAAAACGCTCTCGCTCTCGAAAGCCAAGATTCAAGATCTATCCAAGAGCAAAGTTAAAAAGACAAGTAGTAAAAAATCGTTGTCTAAAGCTATATCTTTGTCTAAAACTAAATCTTTGGCCAAAGCTAAATCGGGATCAAAAATTCGGAATGCTTCATCAATGAAGAAATCATCGAGCAAGAATATGAAATCCTCCGGTAGAAAAAAGCCAAGTCATGAATCGAAATCAATTTCTAAACAAAAATTGGATAGTCAAGTTGATGTCAAGAAAACAAATGGGGAACAGCCATCAAAAATAACTACTGTAATAAGTAAACGATCACTGGAAAAACCTGGAATGCCAATTCCATCGAATCCTCTCATTGAAACATCAAAGGTAAACATTACGAAATCGTGTGTTGTGAATGAGAATGAACCAAAAAGCGAAACACGAATGGTACAATTGAATGTTCCGGAAAAAGTTCAAAAGCAATTAGATGAGATTGTTCAAAATCTTCAAAAAAGTGATCCGGATGATGAATGGGAATACTTTTATGAACCAATTGAATGGCCAGATGTTCAAAATGATGATTATGAATATCAATGGATAGATGAAAAAGATGTCCATAAATATAGCCCTGAACAGATTATAAGAGTTGAATATGATCCTAAATCAAAAAATTCTTTGAATTTGAAACCATAATTTTAAATAACAACTCTGCATAATTTTTTTCCACTGCATTTTTCTCTTTATTTATTATGTTTGTTTTTGTTTTTTTCAATTGCAACCAGATCAGTGCTAAAGGCAAAGAAAAATCAGTTTTGAAAACGAATGAAAATGCGTCGAAAACCAATAAAGAACAGAATGATAAAAAAGAATCATCCATAATAATAAAAAAAGCTGATGGATTTCTTACTGATGAGGAGAAAAGTAAAAGTAGATATAAAACGGCACGAAAACCGCGAAATAGTCAAAATGAAGAAGTATCGTTAAAACAGCAGATAGAAGAAATTTCAAAACGTTTTATAAACAAATTTCCTAAATCGAAAAAAATTGAACAGCCAAAACCATATAGTGGAAAAGAAACATCAAAAAAACAAACAGATGCTGATCCAGCCAAAATAACGCCGAAGGAAAGTACACAAATACCAGAAGGCAAAATATCAACTGCTAATTTTTCAAAAAAATCATCGAAAAAACATTCAACAAATGCCGATCCAGCAAAAATAACACCAAAGGAAAGTACACAAATACCGGAAGGCAAAAAATCAACTGCTAATTTTTCAAAAAAATCATCGAAAAAACATTCAACAAATACTGATCCAACCAAAATAACATCAAAGGAAAGTACACAAATACCGGAAGGCAAAAAATCATCGAAAAAAAATGAATCTAAAAAATGAATAGAATTGTTGCAATAATAAAATCAAACTAAAGAATTAGAAGGAATTAATTTTTTTTTGGAATTTGGTCACATGACCAGCGTACATTGTTTATGAACAGAATAAAAAATGTTTTTTAATCATCCTCGTTTAATAAATTGAAATTTTATAAAGCTGGCTCAAGTTTTTTATTTTCGATTCTTCATTCTTGTAAATTCTCGACATTGAAAAATGGGATCTTTATGTTGTGGCGGTTCTCAATCATCTGGCCACTCATTGGATGAAAATAGCTATTTAAGTGTAAGTATCTTATTTTCATTATGAATTTCTAATAAAAAATAAAACTCAAAACAATTTATGACCATCAAAATAGGGCGAAAACATAACCGAAGAAGAACGACGACGTCGTGCTGTTGAAGCGGCCGAAAAACGTCTTCAACAACAACAAATGCGCGGTGTTCAATTAGGAACAATTGATTCTCAGCCGATAAGAGTTGCACATAGTGAAATACCTGGAAATATTGATTCGAATTTACGATGGCAGGTGTCATAATCTTTCATCGATATAATGTGATCACTAAAAATTGATCAAATAATTTGCATTTCGACTATTATTCTTTTTGTTTGTGTATCATATTTTTCTATCTGCAATAATATTTGTTAATTTTTTCTTATAAAACGTATACACAAAAAAAATGTTTTTAATTTTTAAATTCAATACAATGAATTAAAATATGAATTAAATATGATTCAAAGGGCTTGATACAGTATCATTTCTGAATCACGACCTTCATCAGTTCGATATAAACTTCGATAAATGAAATAGAAAAACAATGCAATTGATGTGAATGGAAGAATATAAGCAAAAATAGTAGCCAAAATCCAATCGAATGTTTTCGTTTGTTCAGAGCCAACTTTTGTCCAATTCATCGCAACATGATGAGTAGAATTGATGAATGTTTCGAATTTTCGTTCGATTAAATGATGAAAACAAACACTTTGTTTTCGTTGATTTTGATCAATTTGATCATCATCGGGATAATCCAAAATTGATTGATTAATTTCATCTTCAGTAAGACATTCACAATGACCATTAGTTTCATTACATTGACTAAATGGATCTTGTTCAACACATGGATCTACAAAATGATCACCGGATTTGATTATTTCAAAATTACAATCAATACATTGGCCATCTATTGCATATAATGGTTTTTCTGTTGTTGTTTGTAACTTGTTACAAATACATTGAGATTTGTCCAAACAAAATAATGGTAATGACAAAAGAAGATCATTATCATTATCATTAACAATCAATCGAGTATCATTTGAATGATTGAATAAACTTCGACAATCTGAATTAGTAATGCATACATTGTTGAATGATAATGTTTGATATTGTAATTTTACATTCGGTATGTATAACAATAGTAATAACAGGAAACCAATTTCCCAGAGCCACCAAAATGATACCATTTTAGCCATAATTTTATTTTCTTCTTTTTTCAACAATTGTCAATTTTAATCGTAATTAGTGTATCGTATTGAATTTTCGTAATGTTTGTGATATCGGTAATTCTGAAGATGATTGTTTGGGATGGATCTGCTTGTTTGATATCATCATCGTAAACATCAATATGTCATAAAATTCATACGTGCTTAAGCATATCATTTGATACCCCGGGATGTCTATTGTTTGTCAGTGAAATATGTATGCGTACATTTTGAAAATCTTTGCTAAATTTTATTTGTATTTCTATCTAATAAATTGGATGATCTCAGCAATTTTTTTTATTTTTGTCATGATAATAATGACAATAATGATTCTTATTACCAATTTTTTCCCAAAAAGAAAATACAAGAATCGAATGAAAAAAACAACTGCTGCCATCTAATAACGACCAACATAATAAATTTTGGAAATTCAAATTTCGAATCTTTCTTTGATGGTAAAATTTTTATAATTTTATAAATGAAATATTTGGAAACAATTCGATCATGATAATGATGATGACAATGCAAACCAATTCAAACATGACATTGTTAAATATAATCGATATCGTTAAGATTAGCTGAATCTGATGATCATTGCAAAAAAAGACTGGAAAAATTATGATTTTGATTAGGTATGACCGAAAAAAAAATCCGATGATTATCGGCAATAAATAGATGAAAAGATTACTTTGGCCATAAATCACGCATTCGAATTGACTAAACACATTTTTTTACTGTTGTTCATGTTGTCATTGTTTTTTTATAGTTACCATGAATGATTATAATCTATCCGATAAAATGATTATTATTGGCACTTTTTTCCATTCCATAAATAGTTTGACATGAATTTTGATTTCTGTCCTTTTTTTCTCTCTCACTCTCTCGAAATTTATCGATATATAAATCTTCGAAGAAAATTGCCAGAAAAAATATATGAATGAAAATCCGGATGCAGATTATATTTTATCTTTATGTGTTTTTGTTATCTTGTCGTTATGATATCGGTAATTTCGATTTCGATTCAATAAAATTGATAAAATTGTAAATTAAAATTGTTATCATCATTATTTTGGCCGGAAATCATATATCTTCATATTTTATAGTATTTTATTGGTTTTACATTTCAATATTTTTTCCAAATTGTATTTTGTGTCATTTTTTTGGTGTGTATGTGTATGATGATCCAATTCCATCAAAACAGAATACGATCTTAACCGTTATCATATTACAACAAATCAGAAACGTCACAATCAATATTTCATAATGGATCATATTTGTTTTTGATTTTTTTTCATTTTGCTTTTATGTGTGTGTTGGGTGTCTATTTTTGGGTGATTTTATTTGATTTTTGTTTTTGCTTAGTATTTATTTTGTTCTTTGTTGTTTGCACTATATTTAAACCATCATCTCGAATGTCATTATCAAATTGAATCCAAAAATAATGACTAAATTATCAGCTGATGGACTACAAATATATGAACAAAAAACAATCAAATGATGATGATAATAAAGAAATAACCATCGCCCATGAATAAAATGGTATATTATTCATGAATAATTATAATCATCATGATGAATACCGATTTGTTTTTTTTTCGGGATTTAGATCCTGAACCATTGTCACGCAATGGCAAATTCTAGTAAAAAAAAGTTTACTCCCCAATCGGAAAATATATTATTTTATCCTTCTTTTTTTCTCTCGTTCGAACGATCGATCTATCGATCGTTACATTTCGTATTGATCTTTGTATGATACACAAACAAATTGACGATAGTGGACAAAAATTAAAGCTGATAGTGCTGAATTCCAACATTTATTTTATGAAATTCTTACATGTTGTTTGACTGACATTTTTGTTAAGTGTATTTACTTATGACGAATTGGATTTTCTAATATCTGTGAGTAGTATGACATAAATCATACAATAGATCATTATAGGTTAGAGAAATTTTTCACTGATCAAAGCACACGAAATCATCATAAGAACCAATCTGATTACATTCAATCTCATCATTTTGTTTTAACTTACCATGAACAGATTGTTAGTTATTAGGTTCACTTAATAAGCACTTGCCATTAACCGATAAATCGAAATGACCAGCCCATAAATCAATCGATCAATCAATCAATCAATTAATCAATCAAATTTCTTTTTTCTTCATCATTCGATTTAAAAGCAATTTTATATACATTATTATAATTGACAATAATAATGTTATGTAACTCTATGTAATATAGTTCAATGTTTTTTTTCACCTTAATCATTTTACTTTCTTTTTTGTATGTATTCGATTTAAGGTTAGTGCTTCCACTTTGTTTTTTTTTCTTTATCATTTTTTTGTGGTTCAATTCATCATTCACTGTATCTCGCTGTGAAAATTGTTGTTGGATTATTTCTCATAATCATTGTCAATAGTGATCGATACTTAGATTGGAAAGTTGTATTCTTTAAAAAAAATTGTTGATTTCTTGATTGTCATTGTTGTCATGGAATGATCTTTGGTCTTCGATTTTCTGATTGTATTGTTTGAAAAAAAAATAATACATAGAAACAATAATCATTCCATTTATGCTCATCATCATCATCATTAGCATTTGTCTTCCATTTGATCATCATCATTGTCATTGAATTTGATTTAATATGATCGATTAATATCATTTTTCAGATAAATGAAATCAGTTCACTTTCGATTTGATCATCATCATCATCATTATTATGGACAACATATGAAATAACATCTGTGGCATTTGAAATATTCGATCCAATTACATTTTTTTTCTTTTCTTTTTTTTTTGTCAACGTTTTGTATTAATTTCTCTTCATTATTATATCATTGTAGTTGTTTTCGATGTTTCGACGGATTGGACGATAGTTTAATTTCAATAGTTTTGATCAGTGTAAATTGTTACCAATGGAAACAACAATGTCGTTGGTGTAAATCGAGAAAAAAAAACCGACAACCGAATCAAATAATGTGGAAAGTGGAGAAAGGAAAAAAAATCCGTTGTCATCGTTTATCGTAGTTTTCCGTGGAGGTGGTATTTATCGATGGTGAGAAAAAAAAGTCAGCCATGTATATTAGAAAGATTCGAATCGTTGGCTACTATCATTCATAAAAGTGTAAATGGAAGAGAGATCGATGCTATATTAATTGATTCATCATCGAAGTTAAACAAGCTAAACGTTTTGACATACTACATCGATTATCGATGGATTAAATCATAAAATCATTGAAACAACAATATTGATTGATTCAATAAAATACAATAATCATTCATCAATAATCGACAACCTTTTTTTATATCAAAAAATTTATAAATTTTTTCTATCATTCTTTGCCGTTATGCTATGTTTTTCAAGGTTTGACTATTGAATAAACATTCGAATTTAATCGGAATCAATCCATTTTTAACCAGTTTTAACGTATTTTTTCTATGAACAAAAGATAATTGAAGAGGGTGTCCTGATCTTTTTCTCACAATTTTTTTTTTCATTCACTAATGATGACGGAACATGTTCAATTTTTTCTAGTTTACTATCATCAACGTCATAGTTGGCCGATTAATCGATTTATTGCTCGAAATCTTGAATGCAGATAAAAATCCAAATAATGATGCTATTCTCATTGATGATGTCGGCATGTCATATCGATGTTGTTACTGTTGTTATCATCATTTGAATACAAGCCAAAATTATTGTTTCAGAACAAAAATGTTTATGCCAAGAAAAAACAAAACAAAGTAAGTTAAAATGATGAAAGAACCTAATGAGTTCAAATTCAAATGATTCCAAATTGAAATTCAACAATAATAAGAATAGATTGGATCTAGATTCATTTTGAATCTATCGGATTTCAATTAATGGTTTATTGAAATCTTTGATGGATAGTTACTTTACTTTATTGTAAAGAAAACAAAAAAAAAATATTTAACAAAAAATCTTATCTTATAAATTACACTCCTTCATTCATAAATAATCTTGGTCCAATTCATTCTTGAGTAAATTTTTGTTATCTAACAACAAAATTATCGAATGATTAACATTTTATTTCAACAGACTTTATTAACAACAGCTTTTAGATTGACAATACATTCTCACATGATTAATGATATAATACTATTGAACATTTGATCAAAACTTTAATTTTCAATTTGTTTTTTCCCATTCAAACAAATCAAATTACTGTGATCATCATCATCAAATCAGGGTAAGTCGAATTAATTTAATTCAAATGTTACCGGATTCAAACAAACTGGTGTTGGAACAAATTTTTCTTCATCGTATTAATTTTTGAATAATTGGATTGATGCCATCGAGGCTATCTTAAAAAATTGACAAAATTTTGATCTATTCAAAGAAAATTTTTTTTTTGAAATCGAAACGAAACAACTCCCAATCATAACGAATGGGTGTAGTATCGAATTCGAGACCAATATTAAGATAGATCGTATGGTATCTATTCCGTTATCGTAAACATCGTCGTCATCAATAATAATAATTTCAACAAATTTATCAAGCTTTTTCAAAACAAAACAAAAAATTAAATGCAAAAGGAAATTAATTTATTTTGATTTTGTCATCGACACACATAACAATTTATCTAGATTTTCATGTAATACAAATAATTATCAATTATCAATTATGATTTATTAAAAAAATAAAAAAAAAATTTAAACGTATTTATGTTGTTGAATTTTGAAAATTTAGATTAAGCTCAGTAACTTGAGCCGCAAGGAAGGAATGAAGTATAAAAACGAATGCTTGAGCATTTTGAACAAGATTCAATTCCAACTAAAATAAATAGAAATAATTGATTAGAAATAATTTGCTATGTTCAAAAAAAAATGCCAGTCACCTTTTGATCTTGATCATATAAAAATATGATCATTTTATTGCCATCATCATTAGTTGAACGAAGTTGTTGGAATGATATCTGATGCATTATTCGACCGGTTCGTGTTTCAGTAACGGTAATACCTTTTTTGTAATGAAGCCGAAGAATACATTCAATAGAGTCATCATCCATTAGGCAAGCTAAACGTAATGTGAATTTATTAGTTATTCAAAACTATTCATTACTTTGCAACTGATACTTACCAAACGAAATATTTTTCAATTGACGTACATAATCGAATGTACATAGAATGATTTTCTTGGAAAAATTGCTTATCTCAGTGTAAAGCTGAGCGTTAAATAAACGAGATTGAATTCCCGTAATCGTACCAGTACGAAGAATAAATATAATTGGCAATGGATTAAAGTCACAATCACCACTGTTAGATAAAGTCTGCGTTGCTGTTGTAGCAAGTGAACTATCTTGTAATAATGATGATAATGACGAAGATTGGGAAGAATTCTGTAATTTATGGAATTTAAGGGAATTGTCTGGCAAAAATTCCTGATCATTATCAGCTTTCATTGTTTGATTATTATTATTGCTTAAATAAATAAATCTTGTCTGTAATAATGGCCATAAGAATTTATATTCAATCAATTCGTTTCCGATGAAAGGAAACTTATCGTAAAAATATAAGTCTCTTGTAGTCAATATCAAAAATAATGGTCGCCATTTTGACGTTTGTTCATATTGCTCAAAGAGGGATACATTATCCGATTGCGTTGAACAGCTACTGTTTTTGATCGAATCAAGTTTAAGCTATAAGAATGAAAAAAAATGAGGTAAATATTAATAATCACAAATTTTTTTTACTCACATCACTGGAATCGTTGTATGGAATGATGTAGTCTTTATGTTCTAAGAACCATCCAATGTAAGTAATTCGGGAATTATCGAAATAACCAAATGTTTTTTGCTTGTTTACATTTTTTATAATTTTTGTATTCAAATCCTGAACAATTTTATGAATTGCACAGAACCAAGAAGTGCACTTAGATTCATTATAAAAACGTATGATACATGCTTTCGATAAATTTGGTGATTGTATAATGATCACCTGTTGAACTAATGATGGATCATTTATCTTTCGATTTGTCGACGATTCAGTAATAGAAATATCAGCTGTAGCTGAATTGTAATCAGATTCAGGAGAATAATAGGGAGATTTATTCTGTTTAGAAATGTTTTGTGAATTCTGTGAGGTTCGAGCGAGTTGAATTCGACGAACGAATACACCCGTTAAGGGTATCACTTTTGATTCAATTTTGGAATGTTGAGAACTCTGTTTTGGAATTGCTTGGCTTGCTGCGTCGGTAGTAATATTTAGACTTTCTAGACGTGTTTCCTGTGAGTTTTCTGATGTATTCGAATTTTTCAGACTGGTTTCGGGTAATGTCCATCCAATATCGGTCAATATTGAAGCCTTCCGAAAATATGGAACCACTTCGGGCAAATATTTCACTATGAGTGAATAAGATGTGCACACTTAACCGTTAAACATATCCATATTAAAAAAGCCAGTGCATAATGAATTGAATTTGAGCAAACCAATACAAACAATGACATTCGAATGAATCATGCAAAATTTGGATTAATGAATTGATTTGTAAAGTGAAATTGTGAATAATGATAGCAATCAAAAAAAAGTTAGGCAACATTTCCATTCCGAAAAAAAATCATGAAATTCAGACCATTCACAAATGAATCAATTAAAGAAAAATATTATTGGAAATTAGTGAGAAAAAAAGATCAATTAAATGGATAAATGCATTTGATTAATATTTAGATAATTTTCAAAAGTTTGCAAGCAAAAAAAATCCTTAATATGAATAAGTGAAAAACAAACCTTCAAGGTTGACTATTTCACCGGCATTTTTTAATGCTTGAACGGCTTCCTCGTGTGTAGCTTCACGTAAATTACAATTATTAACGGCTAATATAGCATCGCCAACATATAATTGAGAAGTAGAATCAGCAGCCAAACCACGGAATATTTTCGAGATCAATATGGGCATTCGATTTTCTTTACCACCTTTGATACTGATACCTAAACCTTCACTGGGTTTCTTACGAATTGTTACTGTTCGTTTACGATTGGCCAGATCATCACTTTCTGTGGGTATCTCGAAATCATTCACATTATCGGCTATTCTTTCCAATGATTCTTTCAATGTGATTTTCAATGAATCTTCATATAGTTCGGCCATTATTCGACACCAAAAATTTTTGATCAAAATTTCGGCAACACCGGTACGTAGAGGTTTATTATTACTTTCCATAATGCTTGCAGTTATTAATAATGTTTTTCTTAATATATTTAGACATAAGATGAATTTGGAAATTTAAAAAAATAACAAAGGCAATGCACAACAAACCAAATACGTTCAATTTATAATGAGAAAATTGCTCCCGTAATTACAACAAAACCATAATTTCAATGTTGATGGAAAGTAATTGTAGCATTATTTTTCAATCTCCGAAAGGAGTTGAAAAGATTTATCAATTATAGAAGAATTTACGGATCTAATTTTTTACGAATTAAAAAAAAACATTACCAAAAACAGTCAACATTTTTGATGAGCATCCATTTCCAATCATTTACAGCTGTTATTGTCAAAAAAAAGATGTGGCTCAAGCATCGATCATTTAGTTCAATCAAACAATCATCAATAGATGGCGATATTATGACAGAATTTAAAATTTTTTGTTTTGTGCAAATGTCTTAAATTGAGTTAAATATTTAAGATTAAATTTTAGATAGAATACATTTCATTTTCAATAGATTACAGCAACCATTAATGAATAGAAAATCCTGCAGATATTTCGATGAAATCAATCGATCAATCACAAATAATCATCATCATCATTAATATTGATCAATGATCATCGGCCATTTTTTCTTTCCATTTTGATTGTATGGTCGAAACACAGAGAATAAATAATCGTAGATGATTATAAATTAATTGACTAATTTGTTTGTTTGAGAAAAAAAATTCTCATCATCACATTCAACATGTGTTGTCCTTTCATGGATAAACAATATAGGTATAATTTCCCATACACACAAAATTGATTTATGGAAATTTCTTTCGTTTTTGTTGTTGATGTTTATTTCGTTTTTCAATTATTCTCTTGAAAACGGGCGGTGAATCACATGTTTATAAATGAATTTTTTTTTGTCTTTCGTTTTCGTATACGTAAAGATTTTTTTCCATCAAAAAAATAGTCCTAAAAAAGACAAGTTATGATTGGTGATGATGAACATTATCATCATGAGGATGATGATGGTGATGAATAAATTTATCTTAAAACATTTCAACAACAAAAAAAAAATATCAGTATCATACTTTTACATACAAAATTTTCAATAGAAATTGATGGTTAGATGAAAAAAAAGATGGATGGCCTTATTTTGTTGTTGTTGTTGGCAATGGCCAGTGGCAATAATAATGATAATAACGATGATCATCATCATCATCATCGATAATGCATTGTAATATATCACCATTTCAATGGGTGATGATCATTGATTATAAAAAAAAATTAATAGTTGGCAACATAGAAAACCTTGATCAATGCATAATTTATCTATAAATAGATTTTGTTTCTAATATGAATTTAGAATTCTAATCAGAATTTACACAAAAAAAAGGATTGATCGGTATCAGAAATCGAAAAACAAAACAAAACAAAATGAATGTGTTTGTTTTGTCTCAAAAAACACACACTTAATGAATTTTCAATCAATTGATAACTTTCAATTTCCATTTTACATAGATAATTTGATTTTATTGTTTTTTTCCATCGCAATTTATTCATAATTATTCAAATACAAAAAAAAATATGATAAAAATTTAGAATTGAGAATGTTTCGACCAGAATTTGTAATGTTTACACCATTCCCTGGAAATGTTTTATGTGTGTTTTTGTGTGTACATTTTTCCATTTGGCAAATTAAAAAAAAAAATCAATGTGTTTAGTAACAACAATGACAATCATAATGAGCGGATACGATTATTTTGTTGATTTTTCTACAAAATTTGGATGTTAATAATATTTCTTTAAAAAAAACATTGCAGTTTTGAATTATAAATTTTATTGTTTAAAATATTCAGCATCAGCAGCTTTATGTGAAATGACACCTGGTTCATTGGTTTGAATTTGAGCACTGAAACCATCACCACTATCACCATATTCAACAGTACGATAAACTCCTTCTGGATCACGATACATATACGATCCTTTAACATTACCTTGTGCATCACCGGATTCTGTACGACTCAATGTCATTCCATATTCATCTGTAGTTTCGTAGGTAAAACTATATGGTTCGGGTGATGGTTCAGGTTCTGTTTGTCGAGCTGAACGTGAAGCGGATGGTGCCGAATATGATGCTACCAATGGTTGTGATCGTGCAAAACCACGATAAGAACGGGCTTCAACCATCACCACCAATAAAACAGTAATAACGAAAATCTGAGAAATAAGATTATGAAAAAAATCATCGAAAAGTAAACAGAAATTAATAAATCGATCCAAAATGAAAACAATAAAAATAGAAGAAGAAAGAATTTGATCACAATCAATTAACGATTAACAAACCTTGATGTTAATCATAATGATCACTGATGAGTTTTTTTTCTATTTAATTTCACACACAAACACAAATGATTTCAAATAATGATGTTGGCAAGATTTTTCCAAGCTTTTATTGTAATCCATGCAAGAGAATGTTTTCATCATGAGATCAGATATTTTTTTCAACAAATATGGCATTCATGTCTAATTCTTTCTCTTTTTCAACTTTTTTTTTTGTTATTTCACACTTACATTTACTATGGAAACTCTTTTTTTTCAAAAAAAATTTATTATCATCATTATTATTATCCGTTGTTTCAAACGGTTGTTTAAATCAACGAATAATAATAATGTTCTTTTTTTTTCTCTTATTTTACAATATTTCATTCTATACAACGAATGAAGTTAAAATCATCCTATACAACAACAAATAGATGCTAATTGGACAACATCATCAATTTGTCTGTCATTCATTTCGATATGACGAACATCTTTCGGTGTGTGTGTGGCCAACTGTCAATATGATAAGTGTGATGCAAAATAAAAAATCCCTTAGAAGCTTTTTGAGAATGAAAATACTAAAATGACGATAATAAAATTTGAACAATTAATAATTTTTTTTTCAAAAAATAAAATAAAAATTTCAGGACTTCCTTTAAATTTCGTTCACTTTTTTTTCATATCTCTGCTATGTATTCTTCATGGCAACAAATCATTAAATCAACCAATAGCTTGAAATGAAATTGATGAACATAGTTTTCATAGATTTTTATGTGAATAACGTTGCTGACCACAAATCAAATATATTTTCTATATATCGAAGAAATGTTATTTCGAAAAAGTTTTTACTTGCTGCTTGAATGATAATGATTATGATTATGCGAACTAGATCTTGACAATGAAGATTCATTCAATTAGACTAAAACTCAGCAACAGAAAAGATAAACTGAATCTATCGTTGTTCGTTTGTTCTGCTTGACCTGTGATAATGTTTACGATAATAAGCGATGAAAGATGGACAAAAAATGCTGACCAACATTTTCATTCGATGACCAGTTTCAGCAATTTTTCAAAATCTGTAGTTCACGAATGTTTTCTACACTTTTTAAAATGAAATTTTTCGATTATTTTACTCATCCGGATAATAATTTTTCAAAAAAAAATTGCAGCATGTAAATGGCCAAAAGAAAAAAAATTAAACAAAACAATAACAATTAAATTTGAGCAATTACTGTTTAAATGATGATTATTATTTGTTAAAAAATCTTAATTGAACATGTAAACACTTGTATAATCATCATCATTATAATTGAAATAATAATTATACAAGACAGCATTGAAATTTAGATTACATGACAATACTGTTGACATATTGTTTACAAGAAAAGTTCCGGTTAATACTTCCGGACCTAATAACCTTAATAATAATTAAAATTTTAATAAGAGAAAAACTTTTTCTTGTAATTTTCCATCATCATCATGATCATCATGCATAATGACATTGAATTGAATATTTTAAATTTCAAGTAACAGAAACGACTATTAGACAAATACAAAAATCTATTAACGATTGATAATTATTCCAATATTGACACTAATTCGAAATGTTTGTTAATGAAAAGAAAACCTTAAAACTTTTGTAAATTTAAAATTTTTCATCTTCGAAAAATTGTATCGTCAAAATCGACTAATTTCAAATTCTAATTATTTTACAACCGTTGTTGTTGTTAGATCATCATAAATTTTTATTTACAAGATGTTCACTGTATTACAATGTCATTCAATTTGTATAAGGATAAAATCCGATATAAAATAAATTTCACAACAACAAATAAAAGACAAAGTATCAAAAAAAAAAATTGCTGAAAACAACATTCATTCATCGGTTCAAATCGAATCCCTAAAAGATGGACGTTGTTAAGGTGAGGTCAAAACGTGTTTTATTATTATTTTTTATTATTATAACACACCTTGTTTCTTTTCTTTTCTTTGATTTAGATTCGAAAGTAAATTAAATTAAATGAATGAATCACCATACAAATATAATAAAGAAAATATTATGATCCATCATTGACCCAAACTTCAAAAAAATGATATCAATCGTTGTAGATGAAAAAAGCTTCTTTCTTTTCGAATTTCAATTTGTTATGATACCTTTTCTAGAAATTTTATTAGATTAAAATTCTCACTATTAATAACTTTACTTGTATAATGTCCATGACAATACTTGGAGCATCGTTTTTTAGATTTTTATGTTTTTTCAAGGTTAATATAATCAACATTCGATCCTACACAAACATCCATATTAAATTAATCAATTATCCATGAGCGATAATTTATGATTAAAAAACAAATTCGAGAAAAAATGCATCAACGATCCGAAATTTTAAACAGGGGATTAATTTGTGTGTGGTGTGTGCTCAATGTTTTTTTATTTTTTTTTAGACAAATAATTCTTAGATCATAATTCTTAGAGACGTTTCTGGAACAACGTTGTTACTTTTTCATGTTATTCTTTTGAGGGAAAAAAATTCGGTCACCATGGTGACCAAAATCGAAACCAAATAAATGCTCAAAACAAATTCTTTGAAAAATATGAATTATGAAAATGTGATTTGGTTCCGGGTTAGATCAAACATTAAAATATTGATTCCGTTGTTCATTTTGTCTATATTTGTATGTAATAATAAATTCACAATAAGCAATCACGCAATAATACACCTGATCAAACACTGATAACTTTGAAAATATGTATTGATTATAAATTTTTTTTTGATAATCATTCAATGTGATTGTGATGATAATCGACCACTGAGAAAAGCCATTGAATATGAATATGAAATGAAAAAAAAAATTTCCAAATATATTACTCAACAGACGAACAAAAAACAAAAATGTTGACCAATAATAATTCGAAACAAAATAAAAAATTTAACGAGTAAGTCTATTAATTATTTGACTCTTTTTTCTGCCATAGTTTAATTATGATAATTAAAACATCATCATTATGACTGATAGCATAATCGGATCATACAATAGTCTACGAGATCCTCATCTAAAAATTCATTTTCGTAAACCACAAATTCGCCGTCATCTTCTTAAATCTAATATTGTGAGTGGCAAGATTAATTTGTTATTTTTTCATTTTTTTTTGTCGAAAAAAGTTAAAAGATTAAAGTAATTATAATAATTTATTCATTCAAATATGCAGATCAGTAGAGATAATAAAATTGTTGAAGAAATATCAAGCACAAAACATAAACAAAATGTTGAACGAAAACAACGACGTGAATTATATCGAATGTTAAATGAAATGGTACAGAATAAAAATGATGAATTCGATACAAATCAGCCAGATTCTATTATCAATGCCAATGAATTACTTGATCATGCCCGATCTTTAGTTATGAAGAATGACAATAGTAAAAAATCGGATAAATCAAATTCGGATCAACAAAGAATAATTTTGCTACAGAAACTTGATCGAATGATAAAAACAATCAAAGAGCATCATGAACAAGGTGGGCATAATGGAATTTTTTTTAAATTTTACTTTGATTTAGACAAATTTTTTTCTAGAATCTAATAAAAATAATGTTAGCAATATGAAAAATCATGCAACAAACTTAGAAAAAATTAAATGTAAAAGTCTTCATGATATTTCAACGATTGAATGCGAATCACCTGATGTACCTATTGCAAAGCAGCCCTGTCTATCAACGCCACAATTGTCCAGATTGTCGATTTCAAAACGACCTAAATCTTCATATGGCAGACCAAGACTTAGACGTAGCATTTCTCGTGAGGAATCTGTTTCAAATAATAATAAACTTGATGATTCAAAATCAATGAAAAAAACTATCAGCTTGGCCAATGTGCACTTACCAACAAATGATGATGATAATGATGATGAAATCAAATCACTGGATGGAGAATCATTCAGTGATTCTGATGATGATAATCATAATGACGAGCTTAAAACGCCATCTCCAGTTTTTCCATTTAGTAATAAATATTATTATAATACAAAGAAAACATTATTTGCTATGGATATAGCTGCAACAAGTAGTAGTAGCGGAAGTTCAGGATCAGGTTCAAATAAAAAATATTATGCTTTCGATAAGCGATTCATAAAGACAAGTACATCCGATCGTCAACGTGTTAAAATGATTTTACGTTATAATGGTCTAAATGGTGCTACTAATATGGGTGGCAAACGTAATGTCAAAGTTTATCAACAGATAACTGTTGGTGGTAACTCGATTCTTATATATGATGGATCAATCAAACCCGGAGGTATGTAATTTTATTTAGACTATATCGATTGCGTAAAATTATATGTTTACAGAAACATTTACATTTGACATACGACCGCACATAAACAATTCATTTGCGATAAACATTCTGGTCAATGGTATAAGAGATTTACGTTTGAATACATGTTGTGAACATAAACATCGACCTGGAACAACATTATCGCATTTCACTATAATAAATGTGATCGGTGGTCGTGCCTGTTTCAATTGTCAAATGATGTTTGCTGATTATAATGATCATTATAATCATACTCATCAAAATCGAATACAAACATCCAAACAAAATCAGCAAGAAATCAACGGGATATTGTCGTTAGATGATCATCATCATCTTACAGATCATTACTATGATGATGAAAATATTAATGTGGAACATAGCATCAAAAATCATAACAATGGTAATCATAGAGAAATTGAAACGCCAACAACACCAAATAAAATTCAATTAAACTTTCTTCCCAGTCCAATGGGAAATGCCAATAAAAATAATGAACAAGAACAAAATGAACAAACGAAAAAAACATTTAAAACAACCTTGGATCATTTGAATAGTTTCGTTGTCAATAATAAAGACGGTCATCACAATGATAATGACAAAGACGATCAAATATTACTACATACGGAAAATATCCACAGGAATCCCAATCCTGTTACGGAACATCAATTGCCCTCATCAACAATAACATCAACTATAAGGTTAATGAATGATGTTGAAAGCCATGATAATGATGAAACAATGACTACAAGCGGCCAACATTCAGTGAAATTTTCAGATGTATATAAAAAACACAATAGAACGATTCGTTTCGATTCAGCAACCAATTCAAGAAAAGTTAGTGGAGAAAATCTATTACCAATGATCAATGATGATGATGAAGATTATGATGAAGAAAACAATAATGATTGTTATGCTATTGATATTGATAGTGAAACTATGCCACAGATTTTTTGCAATAATCACTCACATTCGGATGATGAATAAAATGATAATTGTCTATTTCCTTTCTCATTCATCTTTGATCAACAAAACGATTCTAAATTCTTTAATAATTAAATTTCTGTCCAATCAGTTGATCATTGAATTGATGAGATAATGATGATAATAAAAATAAATTTGATCATTTGTGGAAAATAAAAATAATTTTTTTTTTGTAAAAGAATAATCAAACAATAATGATTATGTTTGTTAACGCATAATTTGTTTGTTTTGTTTGGATTTTAAAACAATATATAATGATTATATGAAAAGAAAATATATTTGTTGTTCATCACTAATTCAATAAAATAATTAGTGTTAAATTATGTTTTTTGTCAAAAAAAAATATTTACAAAAAATTGAATGAATATAGAACAGAATCAATTTTTTTTCGTCCAATAAAAACAAATGAAAAACAATTGAATAACGATGAATTTGAAATGAAATAATTCGGTCCCATCGGTCATTTAATCTGATCGAAAAAACGGGCAAAGTTCGTACATTAATGATGACATAAGATTTGACTATAATTTTCGATGATTAGCTGTCGATGCTTGTAATGCTAATGTTTTGGCAAAATCAATCTGAGCGTATGGAACAGTTGTGGTTGTTGTGGAGGCTACTGTTGTTTGAGCCAAATTATTATTCGATGCTTTGATATTGTTTGTTGAATTTCGACGAATTCGATTCGAATCACCAACATATCCATTTTGACTATCATTATTATTATTGACTAACATGAATGAAAATTTATCATTAATTTTTGTCAACTTTGTCGGTACACAATGACCATTTATAGCGACCATACTAGATGATGAATATTTTCGACTAATCGGTGAATCTCCATCACCACCATTAATATTGTTGATTAGATCATCACCATCTGTATCAAGCAGACTATTCGGTTGTTGATTATTTGTTTCAATATCACCATCAATTTTACTGTTCAAATCCAATTGAACATAGGATTCAGGTGTGACTACTCTCGAATTATTATTACTAAAACGACTTTTGAATCCTGTAAATTATTAATCAAAAATAAGAAATTCGCAAATCAATAAGAATATATAATTATTTACCATTAATAGCTGATTTTCGGTTCTTAATCACATTCTGATCAAAATTAACATAACAAAATGTTCCCAAATTGTCTGATTCATCCATTTTTGATTGAATTTGTTCCAATTTTTTAGCATTTATTATGTTAATATTGTATGGATGTGAATTATGATTTAGATAAAGATGATCATGATTGGAATCACTACTTCTTCGATTACGATTTTTACTTGAATCACTATTATTATTACTATTATTAGAAACTCCAATACCCGAGGAATTGACATAAGCATGTGATGTAGAATTTTCTTTTCGCATCATTGAAGGCAATGTACGTGAATCGTATGAATGATTACCGAGGCCAGATGATGACCATCGAAAATTATGGCCAACACCATTTGATCCGGTTTCATTTAGTGAATGTTTTGATCCAGTCAAACGTGACGACGCTCCGCTACTATTGTGCGACATTGGATTAGTACTATAATAGTTTGGCTGCGATTTCATTTGTCCATTTATCACAGTCGAATTGAGGTATGTATGCACACCTGTACTACTGGATGATCTTGTTGTAGGCATTTGGCTATTAACTGGTGTAACATGATCTAAATTTGATCCAGGCCTGAATGGGTCATTTGTAAATGAGGATAAATTCTGATATTCATGCAATGATAATGGACCATTGTTGGATATTGCAACCAAATCATTACTCATTTGTGAATGAGATTGGGAATGTGACAAATGCTGTTGATTGATGCCATTATGATTCTGGTTAATAGAATTGGACATTACGCCAATCTGTTGAACTAATGTATCAAACAATTGATCGGCAGAAGAACATTCAAATATATGATGTCCTGGTCCAGTCGAACATTTACGACCACATTCAAAACTGAACCATCCATTGTTACAGCCGTAACCGCGAAGATATCTGTGTTATAGAAAAAAAAATTAATAATGGAAAAAATGAACTGGGAAAAATCTTACTTTAGTGGCCAATCAAGACGTTTATTATCACCATAATGAAATACTAATTCATTATCGGTGATTTCAATTTGACCAGGCTGTCTTTGTCCATTCATTGAAATATATGTTGCCTGTCAGAAAAAATATCAATGTTTTAATTAGATTCAAGATGTAAAACATTTATTAAAAATACCTCGAAAATACGTTGACGATTAGAATTGCTAGGTCCATCACGTTGACTGTTTCGTATAGGATCATTGACAATTCCATTACGATTGATCATTTGAACATCATTCGATTTATTTTTCGAACGTTTATTATGATTCGAATATGCACAACCCATTTTGTCCGTTATATAACTATCGCTATTGTTCGTATATGTTAGAAGATCAAAGATATATGAATAAATCACATTTATGGTTTGTTGATGGAATTAAATTCTTTTCAGTATTTAACTCTTAATTTTTTTGTTGTTTTTGGAAAATAATTTGCATTTCTTTGTCGTTTTGGCTCGTATGTATATCTTTATGACTATAAATGAATTGACGTTGTTCATTTATCGAATCAATGATTACAATGTTATATGATACTCATCACCATCATACCATCCATGATAATCATATATAATCAAAAGACGAAAAAATGGAGACTTTCGTCGCCTTCTTGATTGATATGAAGATAATGATTTTCTTTACCATTAAGATATTGATAATAATAGAATTTTCGATTATGTCGCGACGTTTTGCAATTTTTTTCCTAGTGTTTTGTCCTAAAAATACTAATAATGATTATTATTTTCATAATAATAATGTCGTTATTGAATGATGTACTTGATTAATAAAACATAAATATAGTTTCGATGATGATAATAATCGTTGTTTTGTGTTATTGGTCAGATGATCAGACTTGTTTAATAATAATAAACAAAAACATTCGAACGTCAAATAAAAAAATATAGTCAATATAGTATTTTGTTGTTTGTGTTTGAAAATTTTTCGTTGTTGATGTTCGATGATTTGTTGATTATAATCATTCAATGATGATAATGATCGGCTGTTTGATTGTGGTTAGCAATCGTTGAACTATAGCAAAACAATTTCGATTGCATTCACCACAATCATCATCATATCAGTTAGCAAAAAAAAATTAACAAAATTAAGAAAATAAAAACAAATTGATTCGAATTGAATCGGAATTCAAAGTAAAAAAAATAATTATTCTTTCATTAAACATTTCATTCGATGTGTTGAAAAAAATTCTTGATGAATGATTTGCGGTTTGATTAGGATTTTTACATGTACCGAATCAAGTGAAAAAAAATTCAATGTCATATAAGACAAAAAAAAATATTCGATTCAACAACAATAATAAAGATCAATGGATGACAATACAAACATTATTATCAACAATGATGATGACGGAAAAAATATGTCGTTTATTAATATTTTTGTTTTGTTTGTGAACTTTCAAGAATCATTCATATGATCAATGCTTGTGTGTTTGAATAAGAGTGAATGAAGTTGATTGCACCATTCGATTGATACATAATTTGGCATTAGTTTTTTTCAAAATTCTTCAATATCTGATTCTCACCAGGTTGATGTAACAATTGTGTGTGTGTGCGTATTTTTACTTGATGCGATGGATCGAGATAATTTATATCATTGAATGTCAAGATTACACAATACAGAGATTTACTTTTAATAATATTTAGTCGAATTGATGGAATGTTCTGTTTGTTTCAAAGTGAACATTGGTAGCATAAGACAATTGCTTGTCAATTCTTTTTCTTCTTTTTTTTCTCTTATATAATAACGAAAAAAAATTCTTGTCTTTTTTTCATCCCAGAAAATTCTTGAAATGTTTCATTTCATTGTCGTCATTGTTGCTGTCGTCGTAGTCGTTATTTTTTTATTATTGTTTTCTTATTTAATCGCGTCGTCGTCGTTGTTGTTGTCGTGGATTGTAAGATTTTCATTTTCGATAAAATATTTAAAGAGCTTTTTTTGTTTTGTTTGTTTGATAGTGATGTTGATGATGATGATGATGAAAAAATGAAATGCGCAATGTATGCAATGTATATATACCACAAACAATAAATAACATACCAACAAACACTCGAAAAAAGAAACGAAAGAAAATGATAAAAATTGATAATATCACACACAAATGTCCTTGATGATTGATATCATCCGTGGATAGATGGCATGATAGTAGATCTTTTTTTTTATGGAAACAAACAAAAACAATTATGGATTCGAATTTTTTATTTCTTTTTTTTTGAAACAATTTCATTTCATTTAATTTATTTTACAATGTTTGATAAAATATTTTCAAGTTTTTTTCCTGAATAAATTGTTTATAATTTGAAATAATTGATTGAGATTCGTGCAAAATATAATGAATAAATTCAATGAAAATTCTTTAAGATTTATTTTTCCATTTTTATTCGCTAATCAAATGAACCGGTCATTATCCATTTTCTACAATGAAGAGAAATAGATAAATTTATTAATTGATTGATTGTTTGATTATAAATCAAAATAAAATTTACATTCGTTGTTTCCAATAGTTAAGGCCAATAATTGGATATCCACCACCAGCTTTGCTACAAATTTTTTGTTTTAAATTTATCTTAAAAGTTTTCTTTCTTTATACAATTTCAACGTATCAACGAAATTAAAAAAAAATACTTACTAATAAATTTTATGGTCACTATTAAATCTTGTGATGAATGCATCAGATTTTTGGATGAATAATTGAATGATCATGATTGATATTATGGTTACCATTGTTAAAAAAATTGATCTGTTAAAAAAACTATTTGTTGAACTCATTTTTTAATATCAACGGTTTAAAACAATAAACTAAAATGATTTTTAATCTATCACAATCATCTTTCTCTGTTCAGATCTCATTTTTTTCCCATTTTTTTTTGCTTTGATAATTTGTTTTGCCATAATTAGTATGCTTTAGGATAACTTGATTTTTAGACTTGACTTTCTGTTGAGACAATATTCTTATTTTCTAAATGTTAGATAACCAAGACAATAATTTTACCTTTGTTTTATGAACATTATCTAAATACAATCTATTATCTTGGTTGGATGGCCATACTGCAACAACAACAACAACCATACATCATCATGTATTTAAACGGTGAATTCAACCAAGAAAATTGTCATATTTTTTTACAAAATTGAAAAAAATACGACCATACAAAAGAGAACTGGATTTATCAAATGTTTCAAGATGGTTTCTTTCATTTTGTTTCTCTTTCGTTTCTTCTCCCATCGAATTCTATAACGATTTAGATGATAATTTTTTCAATTTGATTTATTTTCATTTTTTTGGCAATAATTACACATTGATTTAATAATTTTTTTGTCTTGAATGCAAAATTATAAATGAATAATTCTAATATCATTCAGATTCGACAGGAAAAAAACTGATTTTTGTTTTTGTTTTGTGTTAAAGATAGGAAAAAAGAAAGACAAATTCAAAGTGTGTGAAAGATTAAGAAGAAAAGCATTTTTGAATGATAGAAAAAAAAACTGAGCAAATTGATTGATCATCATCAATGAAGATGTTGATGAATTCATTAATAATAAAGACAATAATAAATCTGGTATATTTATAAATTGTATGAATCAATTATATCAATCAATCAATCATTTTAATCACGGATTCATATTATTTGTTCGTGTGCGGGTCTATATATCGGTCAAATAATAAATACGATTGAATATTTGTTTTATTTTTATATTGAAAAAAAAGAGAGAGAGAAAAGAATTTGTGAATTTCAATTTAGATCCGAAAAATGACTAGATTTTTTTTGGTTGTTTGCAAAAAACAAAAATCGAATACAATAATAAAACTATATGATAATAATTATGAGAATATATGATGAGAATTAATGAAAAAAATGAATGAATGAATAATCAAATGAGTACAAAAACGACAACAACAACAAAAATCATTGATGATTTTGCCAAATTTGTTGTTTTAATTTTTCCAATATGTAGATACGATGTTGTTGTTGTCGAACACCAATATTAGCTAAAGAATTATTATCCAAACGTAACATTTTGGCACCATTAAATGATTCGAATTTTAATCGATGTTCAGCCATACCGATTCGTTGTAACCATTCTTGAACATCATCTATTGTCCATTCGACTACCGATTTTCTTGCATATGCTAATTGTTGTTGTTGTTGTTGTTGCTGCTGCTGTTGTTGTTGTTGTACGACTGACTGATGATATTGATATTGCATAGCTGTTGTTGGCTGACCACTTCCGGTAGTTGTATAAACAACTTTACTACTTGGAACTTGTGCAGTACTCATTGATGTCTGTCGTGTTGATGATGATGATCCAACAGTTCCACTCGAAGTTTGTATCATTCGACTTGTACCGGTAGCAGAAGTATTACCTGCTGCAAGTTGTTGCTGTTGTTGTTGTCTTTGAATCAATTGTGAATAATTGAGCAGATTCTGTTGCTGTTGTTGTTGCAATGTAGAAGGCTGTTGTTGCTGTTGAAGAATTTGTTGTTGATGATGTCGGGTTAGTGTAGCAAATTGTTGTTGTTGCATTTGTTGTTGTTGACTGGTCAATGGATTCAGATATTGTTGCTGTATTTGTGCATGTTGATTTCTACCTAGCGTTGCAAAATATTGTTGCTGCGGTTGTTGGGTCGATGTTGTGGATGCCGTAGATGTTGATGATGTTCCTGTTGGATGATGATGATGATGATGTTGATGCGGAGGATGATTAGATTGTTGTTGCGTAATATAATATTGAATCTGTTGTGGTTTACTGCTAGCCAATGTATTATATTGGCCACCACCTGATCTTAATTGTTGTTGTTGTTGTTGATATAATTTTGCATTGGCTACTGCCAATGCTCTTTGCTGAAGAAGTAATTGATTTTGCTGTTGCTGACTATATTGTGATTGACTAGTGTTAGATGATTGTGGTAATTGATGATGATGATGATGACTGACCAATGGATTTGTAGCCCTTTGATGTTGATGTTGTTGCTGTTGCTGAACAAGATAATCATAATTCGAAGTCGATGTTGATGTTGATGTTAATGGCTGCTGTTGTTGTTGCTGTTGTTGTTGAGCTGCTAAAATTGATTGACGCATTGCCATTAATGTATGACCATCGGTATTTGTCGGTGCTGATGATGATAATTGATGACCATGACCTATTGTTGATGTTGTTTGTGCCGGATGGTTATGATGTAATTGATAATGGGTTGCCTGATGGCTATAATGTGGAGGATGAGGCATCGGTTCACCCGATATCAACTAATAATGAAAGTAAAAATTATCATATAATTTAATTACATTCAAATTAATTAAATTATTCATGCACTTTTTTTTAATTAATTGCTTAATAAATGATGATTTATTTTTTTGCAATCGCATTCATTAATATTAAAAGAAACAAAACAAATCAAAATTCAAATAACAAAATCAAAATAATTGAACCAAAAAAATAAGGAAAATAAATAACAAAAAAAAAAGACAAGATGCAAAAATAATAATAATTACATAATAATAATGATAATAAATCAAAATCAAAGAACATATTTAACGATTGTTTTTCGTTGACAATTTCCGATTGTCGAATAATTCTGATTATTTTCACTAGATTGTTTTTTCAATATGGTCTTTATGCTAACCTGGGAATGTTGATGATGAACCTGTGAAGAACCGGATTGTTGTTGTTGTTGTTGAATAGTGATTGGAGATGTTGTCGATGATGATGATTGCAATTGTCTTTGTAAATAGATTTTTTGGTTTGCTGTAATTGGTTGTTGTTGAATCGATATTTGTCGATTTGATTGAATTGTTGGCTGTTGTAATGGAACGGCAAATTCTGGTGGAGGAGGTACAACATCTATCAAGCAAGAAAATATCATTAATTAATTTTATCTAACTGTTTAATCAATTTATGGTTTACCAATAGAACCGGTAGTTGTTGTTCCAGAATGATATTGCTGATTAATGGACCGTATTTGTTGTTGTTGAGATTTTGAAGGTTGTTTAAGTATTGATGACGTTGTTGGTTCAGCTAATGATGAGGAATGTGTTGGTTTTGTTCGAGTCAATGTACCACCAGCGGTCACCATTGAAGTTCCTGCTAATTGAGATCGAAGTTGTTGATGCTGTTGTTGAAGATGAATGGCTTTGACTGGATCTTCACAAACAGTTACACATCTACGAATCAATGATCCGGATGAAGCACCAGGTAAAATAGCAATCGGTTTCTGTACGACAACTGTTGAATTGGAAATAACTTGACCCGGAACTTTTCCTAAAGTAGCTGGTATTGGTGATGAATTAAGTGATTTTGATCCCGTTTGCTGTTGTTGTTGTTCAGCAACTAATTGATTGACTGCAGCTACTTTTTCCGCCATTGCCGATATGATTGCAGAATTACGACGGAAATCAGTTGATTGATCACACGGTTGTTTTTGTCTCAAATTAGGCTTGGTAATTATTTCTTTGGATAATTAAACAACAAATTATTACATGAATGATGGATGAACAAATGAATGAATCATACCTTTTTTCAACGTGTTCATCATAGCTGATTGTTGTGGAGTAAAATCTTCCATACAAGATTTAGACATTCGTAATTGTTGACTATCCATTTGATCTTTTGAAATGCTTGAACCGTTCAAACGTTTTTCAAATTCAGCAACATTTTTCTTGACATTATTTGGAGCTTTTGTAGAAACTTGGCTGCTATTTGTATTTGCTGCAGTTCCAACTATTCCATCAGATTCGGTTGTTGCAAAACGAAGTCTGGCCGCTGATGTTATTTTGGCACTTTGTTCTTTTAGTTCATCGAAAATATTTTTCGATCCGATGATTCCATTCTTTAATGATTCAGATGATTTAGGTTCTGTGATTTGAATATCAGTTTCAGGTGGACAAGGACTAGTTGATTTCAATACCACAGTCGCTTTGGTCATTAATTTGATTTTTTCGGCTTTCTTTGGAGTGGTATCCGTTGAGATGGAGGCATTCTTTTTCTTATTCTTTTCATCTTCATCACTGGAATAATCAGGATCAGGAATCTGAGGCCTGATATTCGATTCATTGTCTTGTTTGCTAGTAGCTGGTTGAAAACTTGACAACAATCCTTGCTGTTGTTGTTGCTGCTGCTGCTTTTCGTTATTCTTTCTTATTGGTCCTTTGACAAGTGTAACATCCACCTTAGAAAACAAAATGAATTTAATAAATATGTCAAAAGCAAAGTAAAATTTAATTACAATCGAATGATTTGGTGGTGATGCCGGCGGCGACATTGTAAATGAATCTCGTTTATGAATTTCTGCAACTTTTTCATTTTTGTTAGTTGTTTCAGCCTAAAAAATTTAATTTAAAGTTACATATGAATTCTATCAAATAAATGAAGAAAATGATAATTACTTTTGAATTGCAAACATCTTCCGAATTATTATTGATGCTATATTCAGTAGGTTCAAATGATGAAATTCGACGCATCGAACGAGATCTATCAGTAATTGATTCACTAGTATTAGCATTTGATGAATATTTTTTTGTTTCATTGGGCTTATCATCATCGACTGCCGTTTTGACTTCATTCAACAATATTAGGGCTTGGTTATGAGCCGTACGAACTTCGGATGCAACGACCAATGAACGCGCCCGAGCCCTTGACGTATTTGATAATGTAGTTGATGGATCACGTTTTGGTGGAGCTGGTGGTGGAGCTTTCGTCCCACGATTACTGTTATTGAATGATGCATAAACTGATTGTGACATTTGAATTTGTGATTGACTAGAAGACATCGTATCCGATGTTGGAAGAGGTGGCGGAGGTGGCATCATACCATTTGTTTGTTTTGAATCGGCTACTGGTGATTGTTGTTGTTTGTTTGCATTGTAGTTATTCGTTTGACCTGTCTTTCCTTTCTTTTTCAAAATAGAAACAAGTTGTTTTGGCACCGGTGTGGCAATGGTCATCGTTACTTTATCGCCAGATTGTCGAATTAATTGAACAACATTTTCATGCGACATATGACGAACATCAACATCATTGACAGCCAGAAGAAAATCGCCTCGTTTCAATCCAGCAGCATCAGCAACTCCACCCACTTCGATTTCATCAAAATACTGTAAACCTATCAACGGTACTGATCCTTGCTGTTGCAGTAATTGTTTAGTAAGAACGGGAGATGAATCTTTAGCACCACGTAACACAAATCCGAATCCTTTACTACCACGATGTAAGGTAACGGTACGATCCTGGTATTGACGAGTTGTACTCTACAGAAAATTAAAATTAAAATCATTTATTAACTTTATCATAAAAATTGATATTTACTTTGTCCAAATAGCTTTTTCGTGCTCCTCTTCGTCCACGTGTTGGTAAAGTAGCTGCTTGCATATTTTTCATTTTCATATCTCTTCTTCCTTCAACACGATCACTTGAATCGGTATCCTTAATCGGTTTAATTTTTTCAACACAACAGGCAGGAAAATAACCTTCTTGACTATCTAAACATCTTCGACCAAGTAAAAGTTTTTGCGAAGCAATTGTTGGTGGTGAATGATCACTGTGTAATAAAAGTACATGATCATTTCGACGAAGTTGCATATGACTTGGATCTCCGGAATTATAATCAGAAATAGCTTTGACCATCATACCCGGCGTGAACACTGTACTATCTTCACTTTCGCTACTTGGAATAATATTTCCATTTTGTTCATTATCATCATCGTCATCATCTTCGTTATCATCATAATCCGGTTGAGCATTATCGATATTATTACCATTGTTCATCACAGAACGTTGTTGTTTTGTTTGATTGTTTGGATCATCTTCATCGTCACAACAAACACCAGAAGATGTAGTTGTAGTATTATTTGTTAATTGTGATAATGATGGTGATATGGATCTTCCACTACCGGCACCACCATTAACATCAAGTAATTTAGATTTATTCGGCGTTATTTGATTACCATCATGTGATGAATGCGTGGCTGGACGACGTGCCGGATTATAACGAGGTTTGTCCCGATATGGTACTACATTTTCTTGTTTATGATCTTTAATATAATCGGCCAATGACATATTACCGGCAATGACAGCTACTTGGTATGCATTTTGATGAGAATTGTTCACAATGCTGGTATCACAGCCACGAAGTAAAAGTATTCGTGCACATTCAACTTGATCATTTATGGCAGCTACATGTAATGAAGTATTACCACTGCCAATTATCCTACTATTCATGTCACAGCCATAGAATAATAAATGTTCAAGATGTTGAACCAATCCAAGTTTACTTGCCTAATTTTATTTAATAATTGAAAAAATTATTTTGATAGTAAGATCAAAATATTGACTAAACAATTCGAATGCTTACATGATGAATTTCCTGCCATCCATGTTGATCGATAATACCTAGATTAGCATGTTCATAAAGTAACAGTTGAGTTAGTTTTGGATTAGCTTTATGAATAACACTATAATATAATGGTGTTAAACCATTTGTATCAGGATAGTTTGGTGATGCTCCCAAATCTAATAAAGTTTTTAATGCGATGAAATTGGATTTTTGTACAGCAACATGTAATGCTGTTCGGCCATCTTTGGTACGAAAATCAAGCAAAGCGCCACCATTTACAATGGCGACAATAATCTGTTGCTGTGTTGTACTATTTGAAATCGATAATGATGCTGCTATTGAAAGTGGCGTATCACCACTTGATTCATCAACAAAATTTGGATCACAGTTGACCAATGCTTTGGCCAATTTATCTAGGTTACCATTTTGAATAGCCGTCAAAAGACGTGAACGTTTACGTTTTTTTCGTGTTGCGCTTGCTGTAAATAAAAAAAAATTTCAAATTATTTTCATTGAACAAGAACAAACATATTGAAAAAAATTGATTCTTACCAAGGGGCAATGTACTCATTATTTCACCGTATTTGACTCGTTGTTTATAAAGAAATTCTAATTTAACAATTGTATTCTTTTTGATTGTAGTATTGTTATTGTATGATCGTTGATGTGATTGTTTTGATATTGGTGGTGTTGTTGATTGATGTTGGTCAGGATTGAAATGATTATGATTGATCAATATTGGTAAATTATCGTCGTTATTATTATAGTTGATTATGGTATTGGTGCTACCAGAATGGTTATTTTTGTTCCAAAAATATTCATTAAATGTTAGCTGCTCATCGAGAAACAAACCCAATTGTGCACTGAAAAGGCCATAGTTAAGACATTGATCATCACGTAGTAATCGTGAATTTCGATGATTATTATTATGACCGTTTTTTGTATTGCCACATAATCGTTCAATCAATACGGTTTTGACATACCAAATTGATTGCCGATATGAACAGGTTATATCGAACTGATTGTGGAAAAAAAATAAAAGTATAATTTCGAGAAATTCGATAAAACATTGGATTTTACCTCTGATTGTGTTTCTGGTACAAACACATTGATCAATAATGAATCATCATCTAAATTTGTGGATAATTCGGATCCATAATATGGACAACATCCATCATTAATGCTTGATGATAAACTTCTTGAACTATGATTACTAATCGAATCGATTGTATTCAATGATGAATTTCCCGAATCAGTACGTATTAATTCAGTATGAATATTTGATTGATGATGATTATTAATATTGTTACTATTATTCAATGAATAACAATGCTGTTGATAAGATTTTTGATTAGATGGTTCATAATCCAATGAATTAAATAAATCGGATGAATATTCTTTTGGTGCTGTCCATGATGGTTGTAAAGCAGCAGTTAATGCTGGATCTTGTATCGTTTTTACATGTATATGTTTGGATATACCTCTGTTTGGAACAGAATCACAGATAAAAATTTTAGTTTTATGAATATTAAACATTATGATTGTTAAAATTTGTATAGAGAATTGGCTAAAATCAATCGAATCATCAAGCAATTCGAATAAAACACAATGAATATCTTTCTACAATATCAACGTTGTTGTTTGGTAGTATTGTTTATTTTAACGGCGTAAATAATCAGTAAGTGTGATGAACATCAAAATATGATAACAATGTTAGCATCACCAAACAAAACAAAAAACAATAGTAAAATGAGAATCAAGAAAACGGATGTCGAATACAAAAACTATACACTGAAACAACAATCACCACCAAAAATAACTATGGAACAAAAGTGTTTATCATTATTATCATTTCAATTTTAGAATGAATATAAATAATAAATAGATGACTAAATAGGAAAATGATCATCAAATTTGATTTAAATTTGATGTAAGATGATAATGCTTTGAAGAACAATCAATATGCAACAAAACAACAAAAATAAAAAATTGAAAAATGAATAGTAAAATACATCTCTTGTTTGGTTTGTTGTCAATATTGTCTGACATTTTGTCGGTATATCACATTATTGTCATACTATTAATATTCAATCATTTTTTTTGTTGTTGGTATGATTAGGTTTTCATTTTCTCACTTTGTTATCTTAGATTTTATTTTTATCATTCATATCGATATCCTCTATTAATAATCATAAGGATTTTTTCTTAATACATCATTCTCAATTGGCCTGGATTTTGATGAAATATATTTGTTGTTGTTCTTAATTAGAGTAAAATTTAATCGTAATAAAATTTTGAATCCATAACATAAACAGACAAGAAAAATAGAAAATATTGGAAAAACAAAGAATGTTGCAAAGTTTGATAGAGTTTTTTCCCTAATTCACTTTTTTTAAATTAATTATTTTAGTTATCCAGGATTTTTCCACTTTGATTAATCCCAATAGAATGCGGTATTTTTATTGCAAATGATGACACACCAACATTGATGAAATACACGTGTACGTGTGTTATCCATTAGGTATAATACGTTTATAAAAGTCAGAAAAAAAAGAATCATTATTATCGTTTTTTCACGTAAAATGCGTATTCCATTTATAACATTCCAATCATTTTCTTTTGTTGTTGATTGGTTTTTTTCACAACGTATACGATACGTATTTTTAAAAATGAAAATAGACATCATAAAATTATTTAATTATTATGATTTTTTATAACAATGAAAATTAATTAGTAAAAATAAGAGAAAACAAAAAACGAGGCATTTTACATGACGACAACAACAACAAGCAACAACAACAATGATAATGAGATAATGACGATGCACACCTTCTGAATTGTTTGTAATAGCAAATATCAATGTTATTAAATCAATGTTTCAATGGCACCATTGTTGATCACAAAATACTAAATCGATCATTATAATAATTTGAAAGGAGTAAAATTGTTATTATTATTATTACTTTGTCCCAAAATCACACGATGTAATAATGTTAAAATGTTTCATTCTAATTTCATTGAACTTTGTCGAAATTGTTTGAATCATTTTTTTTTTTTGTTTCAACAAAATGACTCGACCCTTTTTTCATTCTCTTGAGGATGATTATGAAATTCTCTATGGTAATTCCCATAGATATTCGATAAAGTAAACAAGGGATTGATTTTTTCTTCCCTTAGTCCAATAATATTAATTGAAACATTTTCCACATAATTATCATTATGAAACAAAACAAAAAAAAAAATTAATTGAATCAACTAATGCACCTATACTCACGCATACACGTTTAATGCATCATCGTTATAGATAATCATCAACATTCAAGCGATCTGTTGATCGGATAATCAAATTCAATCAATTGTGATAATATGCAAATAAATTTTGAATTCATTTGATTTAAACAAAATATCATTATTCTAATTTTTTTTCTATTCAATTTATTTGCATTATTAATCAAAGTGAATAAAAACTTGTTATGTTATTTTTTATTCATAAATACGTTCGTAGCTATTGCTTGTTGTTGATGCTACTGTATATGAATATTTCATAAATGAATAAGTATTAGTTTTTTTCTCCATTTATACCATTCTATTGTTTTTTATGTGTTTGTATGACACATTTTATATTTTATTATCATCATCAATGTTGTTCCAAATGGATCGAAAAATGCAGTTATAAAGAAAATGTTGATTCTCATGACATGAAACAATTCGAATGTCTTTTTTTTGCTTTTAAATCATTCATAAACTATAGAGAGATGAATAAAATGTTCATTTGATTGGATTCTTTTATGCATTATATGAAAAGAAAAAAAAAATGTAAATGGTGAAAACAAAAAGATCAAAGATCGTGATCGGATCTTTTTTCTATCGTTGTTGTTGTTGTATTTGGATCAATCAGATTTGTTCTAAATATATTGGCTTACATTATTATCGAACAAAATAGACGAAAAAAAACGAGACAAAACTATCACATCATTAATTTTGATCATCATCAACAAAAATCGACATACAGATCATGGTGCCGAATGGATATTTGTTTGGTTGATTCATATGAAGATCGAGGTCAGAAAAACCTTCTTCTTCGTTTTTTTTTTTTTTTTTTTCAAAAATTATATTACCAAACAATCGGGAATCCTTTTTTTCTCTCTTTTTCTGTCTTGTTCTTGATTAAAAATTCAATCGATTAAAANGCCGAATGGATATTTTTTTGGTTGATTCATATGAAGATCGAGGTCAGAAAAACCTTTTTCTTCGTTTTTTTTTTTTTTTTTGTTCAAAAATTATATTACCAAACAATCGTGAATCCTTTTTTTCTCTCTTTTTCTGTCTTGTTCTTGATTAAAAATTCAATCGATTAAAAATGATTAATTATTATGGTTATGGGTATTATCATTGTTAAATTTTTCTTAAAACATTCATTAGAATTCATCAACAACAAAAAAAAATTGTATGCACCATGAATATTGAATAGATGATAATAATTGATGAATGCTGAAATATAATAACTGAGCAAAAAACAAACAAACAATTCAACCAAGCAACCAACCAACCAATCATCAATCAATCTTTACCTTTCATTCGGATTGTTTTAGCTAAAAAAAAAATTAAATGTAAATACAAAACCCTAATTTTATCAGGATGATCCATAATAATCAATAATGATAATATGAACAATTATTAAGAGAGTATGGCATTCCATGGATTCAACAGACGATGATGACATTGTCATTGTTATTGTCTATACTTGAAATTTTTTTTTTTGTTTTATTTTCGTTTATTTTTGAAATAGTCTTTGTTCACAATTTTTATCCCAAAATACAGTTATATTTCCATTCCACTTCAAAATGAAAATTATTCGACAATTGTTTCAGACAACAATTTTAGATCAACAACATTATGGTCGGTTATTTTTTCTTTTGTTGGTTGACGAGATTACAATTGATGATGATGATGATTACCGTTATTGTTTTTGTGGTAAGGGCGATGAACAAAAAAAAAATTCATTTAAAATAACAAGACAAAGCTTCTGGGATATATTTATACACACACACACACACACACACAATTGAAGTTTGATTTGAAAATTATAAAAATTTTATTTTTTTGTCTGAACTCTTTCTATTTGCCTTTTCCATTTCAATTTTTCTTGAAAGTGATTTATCCGTAAAGATTTCAATGAAAAAAGCCTGTCAATGATGGATGATTAACCATAATTTTGTTTAGCGATGAATTATTCCATTTTCATTGTCAGATATGTTACTTTTTTCATAATTATTTCATTCATAATGTTCTGGATTTTTTTCATCAAATAAAATGAATAACTTTTTTTTGTCAGAAAAAAATTTAACATCTGTCGATGTTGAAAAGTTATGAGAAAAAAATTGATTTCCTTCAAAAAGATTTAGGAAACATGACCAAATCTATGATCCATAATCAAAATTGTAGTTTTAAAATGATTCTAATATGCAAAGTTAAGATGGTTTCCAGATTTTGCAAAAAAAAAATAGGATTATATGACAATGAAAAAAACCATTGATAAGGAAGATGATGATAAAATTAACATAGAAATTGATTTGAACGAAAAATTCAAGACTTTTTTATTGTTGTTGTTTTGATCTTGATTTTTTCTTCTTGTTCAACCATATGGCCATATTGATTTGATAGGAATTTGAATAATTGCTCATCACTGTCAAATAAGATATTTACCATAATAATGTGAAACAAATTTTAAATTCAAATTCCACATAACTTTTTTTTTTGATGATGAGTGTCTTTACAATAGACAAAATAAGAAAAGAAATAATAAAAGAGAAATATCGAAACAAAGTATACAATGATCAATCATATTATCCTCGTTTGATCACACAATGATTCGATTTAATTCAATTCGTTCAATCTAGTTTGATCAATAAAAATTGATGGTTTTTGATTTAAGGGATTGTGTGCGTTTATGTCTGAAAGGTGATTTTTGACGATGATCATTTTCCTTCAGCAAAAAGAAAAAACAATCACGACCATTATAAATTAAATTAATCTGAAATAACATTTCATTCAATCATTTAGATGATCGATAAATAAAGAGAATCAATCACAATAGGAAAACCCTCTTGCAGAATTTTTGAACAAAAAATAATTCCTTCTTATCATCATTATCAATTTCAATTTTCAATCACAATGAGCCAGGTGGTGACCATGATCATCATTATCATTATCATCAACATCGACATCGCTTACCAGATGATGATGATGATGATGATGATCAAATCAATCTTGTTAAAATCTGAAATCCGTGATAGAGTTTCATTGAAATTTTTTCACTGATTAAACATGATGTTGAATGAATAATGAAAAAAAACTCAAAGGTCTTCATTGGTGAATGGCTTTCAGGTAGGTAAATATTACATGATGAATCAAATTTCTTTTTTAGTTTAACTAACTGACAATGAAATTTTCATTTCGAGAAATTGGATATTTCTTTTTTTCTGAATAAGAGGATTGTTTTTACGTTATCATCATCATTATTATTATATACAGTGGTGATGATATATCAATCTGATGATGCTACCGAATGAAATAAGATTGATTAAAATCATCAACAATCTCCGGATAGAACAAAAGAAGCTGGAACTATGAAAATAAATTGTACTATTTTTGGGTATATTCAATGTATATTTATTTTTTTACAATGGTCAAATTCAAAACAATTTCGTTCCAGAATTTTTTTTTCTATGTTTAATGATAATCGGTCATCATCATTATGATCAAACAATCAAAAAAAAAACAATAATTTGGATAAAGATTTTCAATTTCGTATAATCATTAAAAAAATATTAAGATTTTTTGAAAAAAAAGAAATTTTATCGTCATTATTTAGGTATTTATATTGGTTGACAATAATGATTATGATCATGTTTTTTTGGGTATCAACAATAAACAACCACAACAACAACAAGACATCAATCATCAGTAACAAAAAAAGAATCACTCGAATGGTCAATCTTTTTAAAAAATATATATTGAAATCAACCATAATTTTAAGAAAAGAAAATTGCTAATGTTTTTTTTCAAACATTATTTATTTTTGGTTTCATTCCAAGAAAAAAAAACCCGTTTCAGTATTTCAATCAAATTTAATGAGAATCATAAATGTTAATGAAAGAAAAAAAGAAAAAGAAAAAATCCCTTTATGTCTACATATGTTTTTTTTGTTGTTGTTATCAAATGTCATCATTATCACTATTATATAAAATGTTTTTTCATTATTATCATTATATGGCTGTTGTTGTCGACAAGATTTTGAAAAAATTCACATTATAATGATGATGATTTTCATTACCATCAATATGTTTTTCTCTCTTTCGCTGTCTTTTGAGTAAACTCATATAATCATTCATTATAATCATTTGTTCATTTTGGTCAGATTTTTTTTTTGTTGTTTGCTGTTGCTCCCGGAAAAGTATACATAAAATTTACAAGAGACGAAGAAAAATGGAATTTTTTTTCACGGGATTTTTATTTTAACAAAATGACATTTTCTTTCTTTCTCTCGCCTACCGCTTGTTTGCACATTTTTTTTATTTCCTATTTTCATTGAAAGAAAATATTCATTCATTCATCTTGTCATATTTTATATTTTACTATTTTTTCCCTCTCCTTGGATAATAATGAGAATGATGATGAGCAAATAGTGATAGGGATTTCAAATTTTTCTTTCTTTTTTTTTCTGTCGGTGATATGATAATATCTACTCGATTGTGTTGTTGTTGTTATTAAGACAAAATCTAACATGTATAGATTGAAAATGATTAGGTAAAGATGACATTTTTTTGCATTCTTCCTGAAATATATGAATGATGAATTTTCCTGAAAAAAAAACTTTTTTTGTTCAATGGTTATAAGGAAAAGAATAATGTTAAGAAATTTTTTTGATTCTTGAAAATGAAAAATTGACTATATGATAATAATTTTGTTGTTGTTGCTGTTGTTATCCTTTAATGAAAAATTGTTAAAATAATTCAACCGAATGTAAAGGATTTGTTTTTTTTTGTTGTTGTTGAAAGAACTTCACAAAAAATGTTGTTTCAGAAAGTAATGCGACAAAATGACATTATTGCAAATAATTGATTTTTGTATATGAATTTACCATGGTGATTAATCATAATCCCCTTGGATACAAATTGATTGGAATGGAAAAAAAAACAAAAATCTTTAATAATAATCTAAATATCCATCAATTTCTGATCAATGATGAAAAAAACAAACAAAATGAAATGAAATATAACAAATTCTTTTTGTGGTTTGAAAATGATCTACAAAAAGATGTATTTAAACATTCAAATTGATGCCAATATTGATTTGATTTGTATGTATCATTTGAAGGTGTCATTTTTTTCTTACTACTAATGAACACCTGCCAACTGAAGTGTTTTTATTTCTTTGCTACATCATCATGTTGATGTATGTAGAGGAAACTGATTATTTGAAACAAAATATCTTATCAAGATCGGAAAATACAAAACACATATCATATAATCAACCGGCATCCGAATCAAATTTATGGCATCTGAACTTTTTTTTTCCTTTATTGGAAAATTCGTTTCGTCCACTTTCTCTATACTGAATTTTCTTTATTTTTTTTATTTCATTTTATTTTTTGAAACTTTGATACAAATTCAAAACAACAATTTTTTTCTTCAATTAATCGATGGTCAAGTTTTTCTTTCTTTCAATTGCTTCACAACAGTGATTTTCATGTTTCTGAAAACAAATACTAATCAATTTTTGTTTTCTTCAATTATTTAATTTTATCCTTATTTGGGCGTCTGTTATTCAATATATAAAAGACAATAAATAGTTTTGTCGCCTTAGTTGGAAACAACATGAAAATTATTTGGAGAAAACAAAAAACAAGAAAATTACACATAAATTGGCATCCACGAATAAAGATAATATTCATTCTTCATATCAAAATTCATCAATCAATCAATCAATCAATTTGATCCTATTATTATCCAAACAAATTAAAAAGAAAAAAAATAATAAGAGAAATTATATAACCTCAAATCACTTTGTCAAATTGGCTTGAACAACAGATTTATTATATATGTGTGTATGTGTGTTTAGTTATTATTTTCATATCATCGTTATTATGATTACAAGTAAATTGTGATTTGTATATTATTAACAATGTCTGTTTGTAGTAGATGCTGAAATATACGAAACATTGTTAGTAGATTTGAAAGTGTTTTTTTTTGGATAGCCATACACAAAATGACAAAATCAAATTGATCCAAAAAACATTTTTTTCCAAAATTTGTTTTGTTTTTATTGATGGAAACAAAAATCTTACCTAGACATAGACAATGATGATGATGATATTGATGATGATCGTGATGATCCCGATGTTGATGTTGTTGTTGATGATGGTGATGATAATTTAACATTTGAAACCAATATATTATTAGCCATATTGGCCAATTGATGATGAAATTCATATGCATTAAATTCATGCATTTTTTTAATGCGAGTTTTTTTTTGAAACAAAAACAAACAAAAAACAAACAAAATCAACAATTTTAAAGAGTTGCTCAATCAATTTCAAATAAAAATTGGAAAATCAAATGGAAAACATTGATCGGATTCTCTTTTTTATTTCTTCACAAATAAATGACATGATTAATATGAAATTTAATACTGATGATATTTCAATTTCAAAAACATTCATTATCAATAAACGAATGTTTAAGAATTCTACATGGTAGATGGATAGGTCAAAAACAGATTTTTAGATTCAATGGACAAAAAAGATGAAGATTGTGATGATAATGGTAAACAGTAGATTTTCACATAATAAAAAAATGTTACAAAACAGTTTTTGAAAAAGTAAAATATCATACGAATCGAAGATCAATGAATTAATCAATATATTCGGTTGATTGATTTCATTGATTGTAAAAAAAATAAAATGTTTTCAAACAAAATGTTTTTGTTGTGAATTTTATTTTTTCTTTTTTGATCTCGTTCAGAGTACACATCAAACTAACCCGAATCGAACCATTTTTTTTTTATTGTTGAATTGTCTTGAATGTGTAACAGTCTTTGTTATTGGTGTGTGTGAATCAGGATATTCGAATTTCGATACCCGTAATCGATTTGATCATCAAAAGTTCAAGAGAGGGAGAGAGAGAAAAAATATGAGAAAAACCGCAAAACTTATTCGTGCAGACCGAAATCATCAATTTAAAATGAATGAAAAACTTGAAAGTTTTGATTGGAATTTTTTCATTTCGTATTCCTTTTCTCAAGAAAAAGAATCAAGAATAAATTATTTTCACTTTGTTTAACATAAGATGACATTATCAGAAAAAAATTCAAAAACCAACGACAATTTTTTTTCTAATTTTAACACAATTGACAGAAATGAAGAATATCAATGAGGTTTTTAACATTTCAACTTTTCTGATAATGACAAGATTCTTTATGATAATGATGATGACGGTTGTCGTTGTTATTGTTGGCATTGACCACATGTCTTTTTTCATCACATCATTATAATAGGCCTGATATATAGCAGGCAACCAAAATGTTCGTTTGAATTGTTTGACACACGTTTTGATTCAATGATTTTTTTCCATCGGTTGGATAAACGACAATAAAACAAATGTCAAAAACATAAACATTAACGACATTTGAATGTTATGAACAAACTATTTCAATTTGAATAGGATTCATTTTGCTAGGTACGATGTCTTCATCATCATCATCATCAGCACCATTTGGTATTTTAAATAAGAAAAAATATTATTACACTACAGTATCATTCATCAGTTTGGGTTAAAATGTTAATTTTGTTGTTGTTGTTGTTGTTGTCGGCGAATTGGCCACCAACTACCATCTGATCATCGATTGATCAAATCTAAAATTTTAGCATTAGCAACTGATCAAGCAGCTGAAAATTGTTGATCATAGCAACGAACGAAAAAAAACGAAACGAATGTATGGACGGAAAAAAAATTCATAAAAGAGAAACATTCCAGGAAGGCATCTTGAATGTTGTTTGAAAAATAAAATGGTTGTATAGATTGTTGTTGAAGAAGTGAGAGTATGTTTAAATCAAAACGAAAAAAAAGAGACAAAGTAATTCTATATTAGCCAAATTCAGTAGATGTATTATATTGGATTTGGTTTTCTTTCGTTTGATTTGGCCAACCAGATTATTATATTTGAAGAATAATCTAAACGATCAATCGGTTAATCAATTGATCGATTATATTCGCAAATCGATTAACCAAACGAAATGAACAGAGAGGAAAAAAAATTATTTTATATATTCTAAAAGAAAACAATTTGAATCAAATCAATCAATTATCGATCGAATTGATTGAATTGATAATGATAAAGATGACCACAGAAAAAAATAATGATGATGAGTATATTACGTGTTGGAGTGCACAAAACTTTTCGAGTAACCAATAGATTTTTACGAATAAATTTCCATAATTTTCATTTTCAATTCATCCAAATAAATTTGTCATTCAAAAATGAATTGAATAAAAATACAAAATCAAAAAAGAAAATGAAAATGAAGATGAAACTATTGAACATCAAATGATTGATTTGTTAATGCATGAAAATGAAATGAAATGAAATAGAATGAATGTGATGAATGGATTGCGATCAATCGATCGATCGATAGATGGATAGATCGACTGATTGAACAATGTAAATTTCTTGTTTTTTTACAGTTCATCATCAACAATTTACAACATTGCTAGTTTACAATACCGAATAAATCAATTTTATTATTGGTCATATTGTTCAAGTTGGAATTGATGATTGGTGTGCTACAAACACACAGTTGATGATAATGATAATGATGATGCAGATTACAATCAATTTTCATTTCGGAAATAAAATCAAATCAAAATGTATTTCATATAAAAAAAACTTGTTTTGTTTGGAACAATTCATAGAAGAAGACAAAAATCGAAAGTTTTTTTTCATTTCAATTCAAATGAATATATGAATGAGGAAACAATTATCATGTGGCCAAAAAAAGAAACCAAACCTGCCAAACTAAAACCAACCGAATGACCAACTGACCACAAATTTAACCAAATTTGATGGACAATCGAACCATTTTGATGGATAAGATGAATGAAATTAATGTAATTTGGCCACCGATTATAATATGATGTATAAGATGGACAACAAACAATGATTTCTTATCCATTGTTCCATTCTATTCATTCATTCAGATAATGATGATTATAATGATGATGATCATCATCATCTCCATAATCATCACTTAATATTTCATTCATTTTTTTATAAAAATTATGACTTGTAGGATTTGCAAATATAAATATTATAGATGCAAGACAAAAAATGAATTATTTTTTCATTCAAATCGAAATCAAATGTGTTTGACTGTATCTGACAAATTTCTTTTTTTCATACATACATTTTCTTGTTTATTAAATTTCCGAAATAGATAAAAAAATTATATTTTATTGTGAATATAAGAAAAAAAATCAAGAAATGAATTGAATTTTGCTATCGATCTTGATCGATATTTTTGTTGTTGTTGTTGTTTTTTTTCGTCAATTCTCTACATCAATCAATAGTGAAAAAAAATCTATAATCATTTTATATTCAAAATAAATTTACAATTCATTTCCGTTATTACAGTGATGTCATCAAGAAATATTTTCTACAGAAAAAAAAATTATTGGTTTTATTATTCAACATAATTGGAAATCAAATTTCTTCCCCAAGCCTTTATCATCCAAATTCATTCAAATGATAGAACTTTTGAGGTAAATTTGAAATGCACTGACACACACACCTATTCAAAATGATGATTTTTTGTTTTTATTTTTAATTCGGGAAAAAAAACTCCCCTAAACAGAAAATCCCATGATTTGTTTTGTGACCACACACAACAACAAACACACACATATATCGATAATGACAATGGCTTCCAAACATTTTTTTCCCGTTGTTTTTGTTGTTGTTTGAAAAAGAATTACCGCGCCCATCAATAAATGGTAATTTTATTTTTTTGTAAAAAAAATTGTTGTTATTTGTATTGATTACACGAAAAAAAAACATACACACACACCGTGTTTACTGTAAATAATTTGATTAGACAAAATTCAAGATGAAATGAAAAGGGGAAAAAAATTTTCGCACTAATAAAATTCACTGAAAACCGATATATTATTTTGGAACAAACCAAACAAATTCATAAAAAGCGTTTCGAATGTTTTAAATCTAAAAAAAATAACAATTTAAAATATTAACTAAACTGTTTTTTCCCCTCATTTCTATGTTTTGTTTTGTGGCAATCAATTGGAAAAGTAAAAAGGATTGAAAAAAATAGCCAAAAACATTTTTTTGTTGATCATAATGATTTTTACAAAAAAAAATTGTTCCATTGAATCGATTGATGATGATGATGATAGACCTGTAACGGGTAATTAGGATTACGATTTGTTTTCCATGTAATGATCATCATAATTAATGTTTTTGTTGGTATTTTTCTTTCACCAACTTTTTTTTTTGAGTTTGCTTATTTCTTTTTCATTTAGTTTTTATGGCTGTGAATTATAATCAATTTTGTAATGAAAACGAGAAAACCACTATTATTTTGTTTTTGTTTTTTTTTCTTCAAAATTATGTTTTGATTTTTGTTGTTGTTTCCGTTATTTGTCTCAAAAAAAAATTAATTGTAAAACCGAATGAAATTTATTCGAAACAAAACAAAAAACGAAATCGATAATCAATGATCATTTGTGTGTGTGTGTTTGTGTTGAGAAATCAACAAGAACAGAAAAACAATTAAAATTCGGAAGTCATAAATGATTTATCGACTATAGTTTTTTCATCTTCATCATCATCATTTGATTGAATCAGTTTCAAATGATAAAGATCCAGGATCCGGATTGTGACATATTTTTAAAAACCAATCTTATCATTAGAAACAATGTCGTCGTGACCAACAACAACAACAAAAACAATGTTTTTGATGATGACAAATCTTTGATTGTATGGAAAAGAAACTATCATCATCATAAAACAACAAAAACCAATGTATCAATGAAATGAATCAAATAAACAAAGCACGTACACGGATTTCATCATCCAAAGTATCATCATTAATCTATTTTTTTTTCTTCATCATGTTTTATTGAAAATTTTTTTATCATAGTTGTTGTTGAGGAAATTTTTTCTGTTAAATATGTAAAAATAAATAGATAACAATAAGAAGGATGAAAAGATGAAGATTCATATTTTTTTCAGTCTTAAAAACAAACTTTATTTATGATCACACAGTGTGTCTTTTTATCATCATCATCCAAATAATCCATTATAAACCATTGATATTTTCAACAACAAAAAAAAAAGATTATCAACCATAAGATGATGATCATCATGATGAATGAATTTGGAAAGAAAATGAAAATAATCTAGTTATTATTGAAATGTTGTTGTTGTTTTTTTTGGTTCCTTGAAAAAAAAGAACA